ATCTATCTATCTATCTATCTATCTATCTATCTATCTATCTATCTATCCATCTATCTATCTATTCTCCACCCTATCCACAACACTACCAAGGCAAAGTAGGTGTCTCTGCCACCCTTCTCTACCACACATATTTCTCAGTTTGTTTTTTTATTTTTTTTCCTGCATCAAGCATACCAACAATGGTAGTTTTAACTTGATTTCACCAATTTAAAGGAGTTAGATTTTTGTTGTTATTGTTGTTTTGGTACTTTTTTTGGATAGAATTGGGGTGAAGAACAGTCACAGACACAGGGAAGGAAACAGTGTGATTTACTCTGGCCACTATGCTCTCTTGGGATGGCTCCCTGTACTTCCTTAGACTTTAAGCATAATGAAAAAAAAAAGTCTGGGAGGAGAAGACACTTAATGCCTTTCTTCTGAGAACAGAAGATGGGTCATTAATTATGCTATACTTAATGGGTCAGAGCAATTACAGTTACCCTGACAAGCTGTGCCATCGTCAGAAGATCCATGAAAGACAGATTGAGAAAAAGAGTAGTTCTACAAAGGAAGGCACAATCTGGTCCAAGCATAATTGTTATAGATAAAAGAAAATCACAAATCACAGAACTACACACTTTTAGGGTTAGAGGGGACCTTAACAGTCATTTAGTTCACTCCTCATTGCAAAACAACAACAACAAAAAAAACCCCCATCTCACTATCGAATACCTGACAAATCAGTCAGTCAACAGACAACAGTCATCTTGATTTAGACATCTTAAACTCAACACGTCCAAAACTGAACTCAGTATCTTACTCTCAAAACTCTACCCGCTTCCAAACTTCCCTATTATTATCAAGGGCTCCACCATAATCCTGTTCACCCAGGCTCACAATCTAGAAGTCATTCTTGACTCTTTACTATCTTTCTCCTCCCATATCCAATATGTTACTAAGTCCTATTGATTCTACCTTCCTAACATCTCTCTTCTATGCTCCTTCATTTTCACTAACATTGCCTGCACCTTGTTCAAGCTCCCAGCACTTCATGGCTGAATTACTACAAGAGTCTTCTGATTGGTCTCCCATCTCAAGTTTCCCTGCTTCTGTCCATCCTTCATTCAGCTGCCAAAGTAATCATCTTAAAATACAGGTCTGACCAAGTCATCCCTCTAATCAATAAACTCCAGTGGCTCCCTATATTTTCCAGAATCAACCATAAAACCCTCTGTTTGGCATTTAAAACCCTTCATAGCAGCTAAGCTGGTAAATGCTTAACAACCAGCTCTCAGGGCAGGGAAAAATGCAGGACACACTTTTAAGTTTAATCTGCATTATTAACATTTTCTCCTTTCTGAAGTCTAGACCAGGGGTGGGGAACCTGCGGTCAAGGCCACATGTGGCCTTCTAGGTCCTTGGATGAGGCCCTTTGACTGAGTCCAAGTTTTACAGAACAAATCCTTTTATTAAGGGGATTTGTTCTGTGAAGTTTGGATTTAGTCAAAGACCTGCATTTGAGGACCTACCGGGTCACACATGGCCTTAAGGCTGCAGGTTCCCCACCTCTGGTCCAGACCCTCAGCTGCTTTAGAGTTGAAAATTTCATCCAAACCCCTCATTTTACAGATAAGGCCCATCTATGTTAAATGATTTGACCAAAGTCTCAATAATAAGGAACAGAGGCAGAATTCAAACTTGGGTACTCAGACTCCAAATCCTGAATTTTCTAGTTAAAAAGTTATTAAAAGCAATAGTGAATAAAAAATGAAATAAAAGTTACCAGTATCTTCAGTATTCCTTCTAGCTCTAACAGCTATAATGCTATGATTCCTTTTGTCATTCTGGAACTTTAGGTAAGAATGTAAAATCTGGACCATACTTGAGTAAGATGAGCAGGAAGGAGTTGGAGGACAGCTTCTCTCGACTTCAAGAGGAGAGCTTGCTGGTGAAGGAGTTATCCTGGAAGCAAGAGAATCAAATCAAAAGGTATGTTTAAATTATTTTTAATGCCAGAAGCACTTTCCCTATTGACTTGGATGCATTATGCCAACATGAAAGTGGAGAGGATGAAATTTTACAGAGATAACTGTATTTAGAAAGATAACTTTAAAACAATGATGATGTGCTTTGAAAGTAATTTTTGAGGTAAGATCATTATAGTAACTTTATTGCAAAGAGCAAGCATTGATGCCCTTTGATATAAATCAGGAAGTAACTTAAAAACCCTGATGTATTCTAATTCTTTGAGTATTAGCCTCAGCTGACCTAGAAACATCCTCCCTTCCAACAAGCTGCAATACTAGTTCTCTTGAAACAGAGAAGGAAACACCTTTAAATTGCTACCTTTGAAATTAATGGAGAAAATGTCCTTAACAAAATAATAGCTTGGCTCAGAGCAATGGGACAGGGATTGGAATGGCACTACCTTTAAAACCCTATTTCAAAACTTGACAGAAGCACAGGGGCAGACTTGATTGAGAAGCAAGGTAAGGGAGTTCTTGGTCCCATAGAATCTCAGAGTTAGAAAGGACTTGGAGAATATTCTGACTAGCTTGTACCTGAACAAGAGTCCCCTCCTTATCATCCCAAAAAGTGGCCATCTGTGATTTACTTGAAGACCTGCAGCAAGGGAGAAACTACTACTTCCTGAGGCAACCTATTCCCCTTATGTGTAAGTCTAATTGTTAGAGTTTTTCTTGCTCTTGTACTCCAATATTCCAGATGGTCTGTTATTTCATCAATGTAGGTATTCCCTCTTAGTATGTTTTGTGCAATCAAGCCTAAATTTATCTCTTCCCAACCTCTACCCATTGCTCCAAGATTTGCTGTTTGGGGCCAAGTAGAACAAATCTAATCCTTCTTCCACATGACAATCATCCTAAAATTTGAAGATAGCTATCATGTTCCCTCTAAGGCTTCTCTTCTTAAGAAAAAAAAATCCTCATTTGCTTTAGCTAGTCCTCATATGGCTTGATCCTGAGGCCCTGAGGTCACCCTCCTCTGGATGCTTTCCAGTTATCAGTGTTCTTAAAATATGGTGTCCAGAACTGAACATAACACTCTAGATGTGGTCTGACCAGAACGGAAGACAACAGGACAATCACCTTCCTCATCCTGGGCACTGCCTTTCCTCATGCAGCCAAAGTTGCCATCAGCATCTATGACTGCATTATGACAGTATTATAGTTGACTCAAAGGCCCAGAAGTAAAGATAGCTATGGTGTCCCTTTTCATTCTTCTCCCAAATAAACATTTTCTATTCCTTCAACTGATTTTTGTGAGACATGTCCTCAATAACAATAACAACAGCCAATATTTGTATAGCTCTAAATTTAAGGTTTACAAAGTATTCTCTCTCTATCTTCTCATTTGAAAATTTAACCTCAAGAGCTGATAAGGGTCAAAAGACATTTTTCCTCATGGTTTCACCCAGTGGTGTTTCATGAGGCAATGGGGTCTTCTTCCCCCAAGTCATCTGTGGTGATTAAAAAGGTTTGAGAGACATAATTTCTGGGTAATTTAATTATTTTATTAATAAGGCGAGCATGTGTATTAATAAAAGGATGGTCATTTGGCCATTTCTCTTAGACCAAAGACAATCATGGATTATTATAATCAATATTATAATCAAGGCTTATATGTTCTTTTGGTAGGGGTGTGTTCCAAAGGATGATAAACAACTCTGACTGGTTAACAATTAATGAGAGAATGAATGATGGGCTGGATCTGAACTTTGATTATGTCATCCACTTAAGTACCTTCCCCCCCCCCCACCTTGGGCAATCTATTCAAAGAATTTATGCCTCACCCAAGTGTGAGCAGAACACAATGGCTCCCCTACTTGGGTGGAGTCTGAACCACAAAGTTAGTCCAATCTCAATATCAGCAATATCCTTTTTAATGTCCTAACCTTTTTAAAATTAGGACTTTAGAAAAAGGAGGAATCTCTGGATCTTCCTAAATCGTTGGTTATTAATAATCATTTCTCTCACATCCAATATTTATTAAGTGCTTACTAAATAAGTACTTACTTTATGTTAGGTGCTAGGAGAAATACAAAGCTTAGACCAAATATGGCCCTGTCCTCATGGAACTTGAAGTTCAGTGTGGGATGAGATACCAAAAATATAACTATAATTTGCCCTATCGCATAATAAGTGCATCATGCTGTGACAATGTGGTCTTAATAAAAAGAATACTAATCTGTGTTCTAGTCACATTTCTAGACCCTGGTTTCTAGTCTATAACTTACTAACTGTCAATCTGAGCAAAGTATTTAACAGTTTTGTGTAGCAGATTCTTCACCTGTAAAGGAAGAAGAATAACATTTTCCCTACCCATCTTACAATGCTGTTATAGGATAAGATTTTAAGTGAAACCAGCAGTCATTTACTAAGTGGCTACACTTTGCTAGGTGATGTACTAGAGGTTCTATGTTACCAAGTCCAATCAGTATTACCCCTGTTTATCTCTCATCCTTTCCTCTCTGTTCCCACTGCCACAGCCCTAGAATTGGCCATCATTACCACCCACCTAAACTATTGAAATAGCCTTCTAATGAGTTTTTATTCCTGTCCCTCCCCAAATGAGTCTATCTTTTATGTATTGGCCAGAATAATTTTGCTTATTAATCTATCTGATTTATAACTACTATGCTTGAAAAAATCCATAGACTTTTTTTATTCTCTACAGATTTTAGAGTTCACATTACTTTGCCTGAACTTCAAGGCCTGCTGCAATCAGAAATGAAACTACTTTTCCACCTTTATCCCATACTAATCTACTCCATTTATGTTTCTGTTTCAGCTGAGTCAGACAACAATATGTATTCCAAATATGCCTATGAATTCTCACCTATTTGCTTATACTCATGCTATTCAACATGCGTAAAATGTCCTCCTTTCCCCTCTTTTCCTGGAAAATTCCAAACCGTCTTTTAAAACCCAGCTCAAGTGCACAAGCACAGAAAAGAGAGAGGCACAGCTAGAAAGAACTTCTTGAGAGAAAGAGCTAGATGTTTACTAGATTGCAAACATAATAGGAATCTGCAGTGCAACAAAGCAACCAGAAAAAATAGAGAACACAATTTTAGGCTACATTAAGCAAAACATAGTATGAAGAAGGAGAGAGATCCTTCCTACTTATGTTTTGCTGAACAGAACTGGATAAAGTCACGCAACTGTGCTGACCAGGTACAAAACACATTTCTGTTAACTAACCTCAGACTCCTGTCTCATTTCAGCAAAGTAGTCTTTTTACTTCTTCCTAATTCCTTATCTCACTCTCTTCTCACTCTCCCCAGAAGTTATTCCAAACCTTTTCTTCTCTCCTCAAGTCTCTCATACTTTCTCATTCCTCACAGCCCCCCCCCCCCCCCCGCCCCGCTTTCTTTCAGGTGAGGATATTATCTCTTATCTTACTGAGAAAAATGAGGCCATTCCCCATGTTCTTTTTTCTTTATCTCAAAACCCCTTGACATTCGCCCACTTTCTCCTCTTATCCTTATCCCTGATGAGATGGTCCTTTTCCTCTACATACACCCTTTGATCTGCATTCCATCTTTTCTCATCTTCTCTAGCAGAATGACTCCTTAATGATTCCCCCAACTCCCTTTTGAATCAGAATTTACCACCTTCAAACAAGCCCAATTCTCTCCCATCCTTGAAAAACCTTCACTAGACTCTTATTATCCCTACAATCTTGTATCTCTCCTCCCTTTCTCAGCCAACCTCTTAGATAAAGCTGTCTACACTTGCTTCTATTTCTTCTCCTTTCACTCACTCTTCCACCTGTTGCAATCTGGCTTCTGACTTCAACATTCAACTGAAATAACTCTCCAAAGTTTCCAAGAATCTCTTAATTGCCAAATCTAATGGTCTTTTCTAGGACTTCATCTTTCTTGACCTCTCTGCAAAAGCTTAATAAGTGCTTGTTGGTTGATTGCCTTGTCAAATATCATCTGGAGTATTATAATCAATTTTGGAACATTGACCAAAAGTAGAGTTTGAGAGATGAGTGACCATGATGTAAGAGATTGGACTGTAATCTCAGATTTTTGCAGCTGGGGCAGTCACCACAAACTACTCCAGGAGTCAAGGCTAGGAATGAACTCACTTGTGTACTAAATCATTGTCCAGGAAGTGTGCTGTCAGGACAGCCTGACTAAGCTGGTATCCCGCTAGTTCAAGTCTGACACTAGAGCAAAATGAGATACTCATAAGTCATTTAATAGTTAAGAACAAGGAGTTTAGTTACCTATAGCATAGAAAGGCTATTTATTAAAGATATTCTAGCACTTAGCTTGGGTAAGCATGGACTCCTTCAATATGGGTCTGTGTGGCAGGATTAGTTACTTTTGTGTGTTGGGACATTTGCCAAATCTGAAGGGCTCTACTTCATGTGAGTTGGCCTTTTTTATTTAAACCTTTTAACTTTAATTTTTTTCTCAAGTATATGTAAACAAAAATTTTTAACATTCTTCTAAAAAAAGTATTTTGAGTTCCAAGTTCTCTCCTTTCATCCTTTTTATCCTCTCTGCTTAAGAAGGCAAATAATTTGAGACTGATTTTACTTCCACAGCCATGCAAAACATTTCCATATTAGCCATGTTGCAAAAGAAAACATAGAAAAAAAAAGAATAATAAAGTTAAAAAAAAGTATGCTCCAATCTGTATTCAGACTCCATCAGTTCTTTCTTTGGAGGTAGATAGTATTTTTAATCATGAGTCTTTTGGAATTGTCTTAGATCATCTATTGCTGAGAAGAGCTAAGTCAATCATAGTTGATTATTGTACAATGTTGCTGTTACTGTTTTCCTGGTTCTGCTCATTTCACTTTACATCAGTTCATGTAAGTGTTCCCATGTTTTTCTGAAAGCATCCTGCTCATTATTTCTTATAGCACAATAATATTCCATCACAATCATATATCACAATTTGTTCAGCCATTCCTCAATTGATGGGCATCCCCTCAATTTCCAATTCTTTGACACCACAAAAAGAGCTGTTATAAATATTTTTGTACAAATAGGTCATTTTCCTTTTTCTTTGATCTCTTTGAGGTACAGACCTTGTAGTGGTATTGGTGAGTCAAAGGGTATGCACAGTTTTATAGGCCTTTGGGCATAGTTCCAAATTGCTCTCCAGAATAGTTAGATCAGTTCACAATTCTACCAATAGTGTCCCTATTTTCCCACATCCTTTCCTATATTTGTCATTTTCCTTTTCTGTCATATTAGACAATCTAATGTGTGATACATCAGACTTGTTTTAATTTGCGTTTCTCTAATCAATAGTGATTTAGAGCATTTTTTCACATGACTATAGATAGCTTTGATTTTTTCTTCTGATAACTGCCTGTTCATATCCTTTGACCATTTATTAATTGGAGAATGACTTGCATTCTATAATTTGACTCAGTTCTCTATATATTTGCAAAAGGAAGCCTTTATCAGAGAATCTGCTATAAATTTTTTTTCCACCAATTTCTGCTTTCCTTCTGGTTGGCTTTGTTTGTGTAAAAACTTTTTAATTTCATGTAAGCAAAATTATCCATTTTGTATCCCATAATGCTCTCCATATCTTGTTTAGTCATAAATTCTTCCCTTATCAATAAATCTGACAGGTAAAATACTCCGTGCTCCCCTAATCTGCTTATGATATCACCCTTTATATCTACATCATTTACCCATTTTGACTTTATCTCACTATATGGTATGACACGGTGGTCTATTCCCAGTTTCTTTATTTTTAATTTTCAGGTAATTGGGGTTAAGTGACTTACCCAGGGTCACACAGCTAGTAAGAGTCAAGTGTTTGATCTGAGGCCAGATTTGAACTGAGGTCCTCCTGACTTCAGGGGTGGTGCTCTATCCACAGCGCCACCTAGTTGCCCCTTATTCCTAGTTTCTTCCAAATTGCTTTCCAGTTTTCCCACAAATTTTTGTCAAATAGTGAGTTCTTGTTCCAAAATCTTGGATCTTTTGGTCTGTCAAACACTAGCTTACTGTGGTCACTTACTACTATATATTAATACCAAATCTATTCCACTGATCTGCCACTGTATTTCTTAGCCAGTACCAGATTGTTTTGATGATGATCACTTTGTAATACAGTTTTGAGACCTGGTTCTACTAAACTACCTTTCTTCACGTTTTCGCCCATTAATTCCCTTGATATTCTTGATCTTTTGCTCTTCTTGATGAATTTTGTTATTGATTTTTTTCCTAGCTTCATAAAAAAAAAATTGGGGTTAATTTGATTGATATGGCACCAAATGAGGAAATTAATTCATTGACAAAAATTAAATAAAAGGTAAAGAACTAATTTATTGATAAAAATTGTCATTTTTATTACATTGGCACAGCCTACCCATGAGTATTTAATATTTCTCCAATTGTTTAGATCTGACTTTATTTGTGTGGTAAGTGTCTTATAATTGTGTTCATATAGTTCCTGGGTTTATCTTGGCAAGTCAACTTCCAAGTATTTTATATTGTCTGAAGTTATTTTAAATGAAATTTATCTTTCTATTTCTTGCTGTTGGGCTTTGTTGGTAATATATAGAAATGCTGATGACTTATGTGGGTTTATTTTATATCCTACAACTCTGCTGAAGTTGTTAATTATTTCGGGTAGTTTTTTAGTTCATTCTCTAGGATTCTCTAAACATACCATCATATCATCTGCAAAGGGTAATAGTTTTGTTTCTTCATTGTCTTTTCTAATCCCTTCAATTTTTTTTCTTTTCTTATTGTTGTAGCCCGCATTTCTAGAACAATATTCAATAATAGTAGTAATAATGGGGTAACACATTAGGGGAAATCTGAGATTGTAGGAGCTTCATATTTTAAGTAATTGCTAACTAGGTGATAACTGTAGTCTCTACACAGTTGAAGTGCTGCAAATGCTGTTAGCATGCTCTAAATTTGTCACACTGGGGCAAATCCCTAATCATTCTCACCTAGTTATGGTTCTGGTGAGTGTATTAGAGACAATAATACCATGCATAAATCAGCTGAACATTCTGGGGATGTTTTGCCAGGAAAAGAGAAGTTGTAAGGGGGATGAGATAAGTGGGGTTTTTTTTAATTAAATTTTATTGGTGGAGTTATGAACTGTTCCAACCATTCTGGAGAGCAATTTAGAACTATGCCCAAAGGGCTATAAAATTGTGCATACCCTTTGACCCAGCAATACTACTTCCAGGTCTGTATCCCAAAGAGATCATAAAAATGGGAAAAGGACCCACATGTACAAAAATATTTATAGCAGCTCTTTTTGTGGTGGCAAAGAATTGGAAATTGAGGGGATGCCCATCAATTGGGGAATGGCTGAACAAGTTGTGGGATATGAATGTAATGGAATACTATTGTGCTATAAAAAATGATGAGTAGGTAAACTAAAGAAAAACTTGGAAAGACTTATATGAACTGATGCTGAGTGAAATGAGCAGAACCAGGAGAACATTGTGCACAATAACAGCCACGTTGTGTGATGACTGACTTTGATAGACTTGGCTCTTCTCAGCAATGCAAGGATGTAAGAAAACTCCAGAGGAGTCATGATGGAAAATGCTATCCAAATCCAAAGAAAAAACTATGGAGTCTGAACGCAGATGGAAGCATACTATTTGCTCCCCTTTTCCTTTGTTGTTTTGTTGTATTGCTTTATTCTTGTAGTTCCTCCCAATAGTTCTAATTATTCTTTACATCATGACTAATGGGAAAATATTTGTAATATGAATGTATAAGTACAGTCTATGTCAGATTGCATGCCTTCTTGGGGAGGGGAGATGAGAGGGAGGGGGAGAAAAATTTTAAACTCAAAATCTTATGTAAGTGAATGTTGAAAACTAAAGAAAAATTATTTTAAAAAAACCAAAAAAATTAAATTTTATTTTTCAATTAACAGATATTTATTTTCACTCCCTCTCACTTCCCTTACTCCCCTCTGGGGGGAAATAATAAAAACAAAACCCTTGCAACAAATATGAACGTCCATGTTGGCCATGTCTGAAAAAGGATGTCTCATTCTGTGTATTTACTCTGTTACGTTTCTGTTAGGAGGTGAATAGAATTCTTCAAGTAGTTAAAAGAATGTCATGTAGAAGAGGAATTAGTTTTATGCTGCTTGACCTCAAATAGCAGAACCGGCAGCAATGGGTAATTTCAGAGAGAAGAGATTTTGGACTTTGTATAAGGGGGAAAAAACTTTCCCAAAAATTCAAGTTATTCAGAAGTAGAATGGGCTGCCTTGAAAAGTAGTGGGTTCCTATCACTGGAATCTGTATAATCAGTTGGCAAGTATGTTACAGAAAAGATTCCTGTTCAACTATGGTTATATTAAATGATTTATAAAGTTCCTTCCAATTCTGAGTTTTCTGAGTCTGTGAAGCGCTCTTTCTTCCATGAAACCTTCTCTGATCACCCTCCCCACCAGCCATTAATGATTCCCTGTGAGGGACTGTCTGATGTTGGCAGCTACCAGGTTGGGCGCTGTGGCAAGAGTAGGGTAAGATCTGGGTATTTTGGAAGTCGAGGCAGGGGCTGTGGTAGGCAGAGTCGTGGTGAACTGGGATGGGCTGGATACGGAGAAGCCCTGAGGCAGTGGGCAGTGCTTTGTGAGATAAGCTGGGTACAAGGAAGTAGCCGGAGCTTGAGCTCCTGAGGCAAGGGGCGGTGCCACGTGGGAGTGGGACAGCAGCGGACTGAGTTCCCTTTGCTTAGTCCCCTCCCTATATGCAACGTCATCCCCAGATGCCTCTTGTGACCTTCCTGACTTCCTGGGTCCCTTTGTGCAGCACTGACCCAGACCCCTCCTCCCAGTGTCTGAGTCTGACTTCCTAGGTCACGTACTCTTGTCTATGCGCCAATCCCAGATGCCTCCTCCCTGTATCTGGTCCTAGCCTCCTACGTCACTCCCTCCCCCTTGGTGTGCTAAACTCAGACAGCCCCTTCTGGTATCTGACCCTACAATCATTGGCTAGTAAGCGGGCTGGGGAGGAGGGGCTAGGTAGGTTTTTAGGATCAAGCGTGGTCAGATCACGCGCTCTCTCTTGGCTCCTGCCCTGTTGCTCTGGCCTTGCTGCTTGGGCTTGCTATGATGGCTTGCTGTGATGGCCTCTGAATAAAGCTCTGGTGTTGGCACCTCCCGATGGCTCGTCTCTGTGTGGTTATCCGGCATAGGACCGAAGACTCGAGTGTGAGTATGATTCTGGTAGTGTGCTCCTTATAGGAGGAGCGGGTACAGGCGTACGGCCGGTAGAAGGTCGGCATGCGGCCAGTTCAATTCCCCAATGCCCATCACATCTTATTTTCCACCTCTCTAATGTAGTATTTTGAATTATAGTTCTCTTGGTATTTGTTACTTACCTATTAGTATAAGCTACTATAAACTCCATGAGAGTAAGAACTGTGTCTTATCTATACTTTTTTTCTTTTAGTATTTGACATAGTGTTCTGCACCTTGAGTTGAATTTTATTGAATTTGAAAAATAACAAAGTAGTCTGAGGTAATAATAACAATAATGACTTTATTTATTCTTTCAAATAGGATGAGGACAAAATTGTTGAGACTCACAGCTGAAGGAAGAACTAGTGGGGATATCAACAGGTCTAGCAGGAATCTAAAGGCTGAAGAAACCATTGAAAACCTGAAGGACCAAGTGTGGCAGTTGCAGCGACACAATGAGGGACTCAACAACCGTCTTCTGATGTATAAACATCAGCTGCAAGTCCAGAGCTCTGGGCGCTCTCCATATAGCTATGTCCAGCCTCGGATCAATACAGGGAGGCGGCAGCTTCACACTTCTGATGCTCAAATTCCAGCAAAACTCAAAAGAGGTGAGGGAAGACTAAATCCTAGCATAGTTCATTGGCGTCAGAGCTTTGCTAAAATATACGCAAGAAAAAAGGATTCATTGACCGTTGACCATTGACCATTCACTGGAACTACAATAACATGTGTGCCCTTTCTCCTTTCTGAATAATTGCTAAATAGGTGAGACTATTTACTTAGTTGAATCTGTGGTACAGTAGCAACCTCAATCTTACGCTGATGGGAAATGGTGGAGAAGAGTGTGTGTTGGGTACAGACACTGGGAAATAGTGACTTTGCCAATTGAGCCCAGAAGCAGGGTTAAGACTAGGAATTCTTGTGTCAAGGGCAAATTCAGAAGAGATAGCTTAACCCTCAGGAAGTCTGGGCTATACCTCTCACCTTACTGTTAATAGTTCTTGACCCTCCAAAACTTTACAAGGTTAGTAGTGAGGAAGCAGCAGGTAGGGATGGTGGGGCAGGGAAATTGGGGGGAATGACATACCAATTGGGGAAGACAGGCCATGAGAGAAGGGCAGGCACCAGGGTGGCTGGGACCTGGGAGGAGGTGCCTTAAAGTTTGATTAGGGAACAAGTATGGCAAGCAGATCAGATTACCCCAAAGGAATTAAATGTAATACCTCCACTTTGGTGCCATTGAGCAAAGCCTTAGCATTTCTTGATAGTTATGTTGTGTCCAGAGGAGAGTATCTTCACAATGAGACCTATGTCTTGAACCTCATAATTAGGAGAGGCTATATTGAGAATAATTTTTAGGGACTAGTAAGTCCTCTTCTCTGTAATTTAGGATATTGGGGCTGGAGAGCTAAATTTCTTATTCTTCCTGCACATATACACAGATTCCTCCAGGATTTCCTTCTCAGTTATGCCACTCCAAGTGGCTAAATGTCTGAGTTTTCCCCTTCCCGAAATATGGGGAAACTCTACTGTGAGTGAGTGTTCCGGTAACTGTCCAAAGGGCAAAGATTACATTCTCTGTTAAAATATCAGAGTTAGATAAGCATAAATGAATGAAATTCACATACAATATATTATTTCATATAATACTGTAGTTTCAAACTATGTTGCCAACTAAAACCTTTATAGCTAAGAAAGTAGCAAATTGTTATTCTTTCCTCTTCTGTCTTCCTCCCACTCATGAGATTCTGGGGTCTCACTGACTGTTTCAATTCTCAGTGACCATTCCGCTGTCAAAAAAAAAAAAAGAGAGAGAGAGAGAGAGAGATCTTTCACCAGACCACAGTGCTGTTCAGAGTAATCTCTTGGCCCTATGGGCCTCAAATCCCAGTGGGACCTGGTATTCTGCGAAGGCCCATGCCATAGGCTTCATCCTCTGCCTGAATTTTCTCTTATAGCACCACCTACCAGACCAAGTTATACAGCCCCTCCTATATGCAAAGAACATTTGATGGAAGAAGTCAGGGCTGAGATGCCCAGTGAACTGTGAGTTGTTTATTTTTTTTTCTTATCTGACACCCTTGTTTCAGCAGCTTTATTTTAAAGGCCATTATTGAAAGAGAGAAAAAATGAGGGTTAACTCTTTAGTTTCCTCCTTCCTTGATTTGTGGGAAGATGAAAATCAACTCCATGTCAAATTCCAAACTTGTCTTTAAAATGGGAAAGTTTATATTCTGACCTCAGAGGAAAGTATAATCTCTTTGGGATCCATTTAAGGAATCTCCATATATGCCTATTTCTTGTTAGGAATTTTTTTTACGTTTCTTTCTGCTATTTGGGATTTGCCATTCATAAGGGCATCATCCACCTGCCCTGGGGTATTAATTGCTGGTATCTTTCATCTTATATGAACCTTAAGTTCTTAACCCTGTCTGAGCAACAAATTAAGCCATCTTTTATTCCCTTCTCTTTTCTCTTTATGCTCCCAATTCTAAACAATATATCTTCTTTCAATAAAAACATAATTTCTACTATTACAAATCCCCTCATTAGTGTGTGCACATCTAACAGAGTCCAGATTATGACCAACAATTCTGTGAAAGTGGATGAACCAGAATTGTCACCCAAGTCTCCAGAGAAGATGTGGTCCAAAGATGAAGACTGTGAAGAGAAAAGCTCCTTAGAGTATGCTCAATTGGCCACAGAGTATAGGTATGACAAGGTGCTACAAAACTGCACTGAACTAAGAATGTTTCTTTCCTTTTAGAATTACCAGGAATGTTTGGGATTGAAGTTAGCTATATAGAGTACCCTGCAAGCCCGTGGTGACTCTTTGTAATAGATTGGAAGTCTAGAGGTGGGTGTTTACCTATAGTGGTAATTTGGGAATTCCATTTCATAGAAAGGTAACTAATGCTATTTCTTCATCAAAAAGCATTTAGTGAGTAGTCCAATGATTCTCATTGAGTTAAAAATATATAAACCAAACACCCTTGTAGAAATGAAAATGCCCTTATTCTTTGGCTCCTCTGGGTTCTCTAAGGCAACCAGGCTCAGGGCCAGTTGGGCATGTAAGAGGTGCACAGAAAGGGGTCAAAGCGAGCATCTTAGTAAAATAGCTATTGCTGTGTCTATCCATTTTCCCATCCACCTTTCCCTTCTCCTTGCCCCATCCCGTGTACCCCCAGATGTAATATGAATAAGTTGGCAGAACCCAGTTTATGGGATTAAAAGTATCAACCAGTCTCAACTGGTTTGCTATGAGGAGATGATGTTTCTACATATGTCTCTCACTTTAGTGGAGTGTGCATCTGAGGCTTTTAATGTATGCTATGTATTCTGTCTTTAGAGCTTCCATTAGAGAGAATGTGGAACGGATCCAAATGATGAGACTCTTGCATGAAAGAAGCTCTGCCCTTGTGGCAGCGAAGGCCCAACTAGCAGACCTGCAGGAGGTGAGTGAGAGCTGCATGAGTGGAAACAGGAGTTCAGGGCTTGGCCATGCATCATATCATGTAAACATGAGATAAGGAACGGCTGATGCGGTTTCAGAGGTTCGGGGACCCCCCAAGGACTGAAGTACAGGACAAGGTCATCTGGAATATATTCACGGACTCAAGTAGTCTTCCAGTCAGGTGGCAAAAAGTTTATTATAATGCTAATATGGTGGGCAGAACTCCTTAGGGAACTTCCCATGGTAGGCAGAACTCCCTAGGGAACTTTCCATGGTGGGCAGAGTTACTTCTGCCAAGCACTAGGGGAACATTCCTGAGATACTTATTGATGAAATACACTGAATATCTAGTAGATGTGTGTGCATGTACATATATGTATGTATGCGTGTGTGTGTATACATGTGAATGAATATAGGATGTTCCAAAAGTTTTAGTGCAGTCTTTTAATTTTGGTAACTTAAAGTTTAAGCTGTGTGTATATATATGTGTATGTATATATGTAGGCATAAAACATATATATGTATATATACACACGTACACATATATGGTATCCCAAAAGTCTTAGTGCAGTTTTAAGCTTTGGTAGCTAGCATTACTGTAGCTTAAAACTGCACTAAGACTTTTGGGACACCATATACATATGTGTGTATATATATATATTTCTATATCTACATGTATACATATATTCATAAATATTTATTTTATATCACTTCAAATACAATACATATCAATCACGCAGTCTATTTCATTTACTAAACAGCTACTGTGTACCAAGCACTGTGCTAATATGCACTGGGGATATAAAGACAAAGGATAAAATAGTACCTGACCTCAAGGAGCTACAAATTACAAGAGAATACAAAAGCAAAAAAGAGAGACAGACCTCAAAGACAGGAAGAATTTAGTCCAAGTTCTCCCTCTAACACATACTAGGTGTGTAGTCTGATGATGTCTTTAAAAATTAACATTTATATTTTTAATTTCATCTTGCTTTCCTTTTTGTACCTTGTGTCTTTGGAGAATATAGAATTGTAATAATAGATTATCTTCATCATGTTTCAATAAGTCAACAGTTTGAATTAATTAAGTCCTAGTTCCTCAGGAAGGCAACCATACAATTTCATAGGTATTCTATACCTAAAAAAAGAATAGACTTTGCTTTTCCTTTCATTATTTGATTAAGTTTTCATGAGAGTTTGTGGGTGAGTTCTAAGTGGTGTAATCTTATTCTTGGATTAGAGGGAAATCTACTGCTGTTTTACAGCCTAGCCACCCCTTGTCAGTCAGTTGACTAAGTACCAGTTAGGTACAGATCCCTCTATCAGGCCTAGAATGCCTAGGTTTAATGATACTGCACAATATCCTTGCACACAAAACCATAATGGTATATAAAAACACTGAAGGTCCTTCTCTCCAAGGTGAGATTAAATGAGGTTAATTTGAGACAGAGTAGAAGCCCTGGTTCAGACACTGAACAAAAGCAATAATGTGGAATCAAGGTCAAGCTCCCAGGGCAAGGTAAGGGGCCAAGTACCTAGGTGGATCACCATCTTATAGTTGAGCACCTGAGGGTGTTAAGTAGTTAATTGCAACTAGAGATGCTTCTTTTTTCACTCTAACTGATAAGGAAGAATGACATAATATGACAATAGTATACTTGGTGAAAGGTGGAAGCCAGTTTGAGATTTTAAACATTTCATGGAAGAGCAACAAAGTAGATCATCCATGTGTGAATCGTTAACTGATCTTACCCACTGCTCTGACCATTTTAATCTAGAAAATGATTTATTCTGTCAAAATGTCAAGGCAGCATCAGTGATTCTTGCCCTGATAGGAAAAGGGATGGGCAACAGATAAATGCATACTGAGTGAATCCAAGAGAATTCTCTTCTAGGAATCTCTCTCTCTTGATTGTTTATGGCTGAGCCTCTCCTGGAGAAAGTACCCTTGCTTAACACCGCCTTCAGTTCTGGAACAACAAACCACGATCAAATCAACTCTGTCATTGTTCCAGAATGAAGCATATCATTTCATCTCCTATGGCCCCACTCACCATCCTCATTACTTTCTGGGCCAAATTGCCCCCCTGGTCACTTCTCTTCTGTCTGTGTTGTTTCATCCAATTAAATGTAAGCTCTTTGAAGCCTGGGACTATGTTTGCCTTCCTTTTTTATCTCCAGCACTTAGTACAGTGTTTGGTACATGGGAATCCTTTAAATATTCCTTATTGACTGATCTTTAAAATTTAGCCCCTTTCTTTCTAGCACATCTCAATATAAAACTGTATGGGGTAGGGGAGAAAGATAAATATCTTTGTAATAAGGAAAAAAGATTGGACTGTGATTTCATCACTGCAATGTATAGTCTTAGAGAGATGCCTAGAGGATTAGAGTTTAAGTGACTTGTCCAGGGTCACATAGCCTGTATGTATCAGAGGCAAGGCTTGAACTTAGGTCTTCTTGACTTCTGGACCAACTACTACTCTGTCCTAGAATAACTGTTCATATTTTATATGGTATGTTGGAATTTACCAAGCACTTTACACACAACAACTCTGAGGTAAGTATGGATATTATTATCCCCATTTTATGGATGAGAAGATTGAAGCTGGGAGAGGTTCAGTGATTGGCAATAGTCATACTACTGATGCCTTAAACTAAGACTCAAGCCTAGGTTTTCAGACTCCAAGTTATGGTGTTGATTTTTCTCTTCCAGGCATATGGTTCTTCCAGAAGATGCAAGGGTTCCTTCAATTTACAGCTCTTAGATAATCAGAGTAACTGCTCTCTCCAAAATACTTCACATATTTCTGAACACCAGAGGACCCAAAATTAGCCAATTAAATGAAAATTATTTTTCAGACAAGGTCGTTTAAGACAGTTGAAACTAAAGTAACTATAAACCTCCTGAAAGAGATCTGCTGTGGTGCTGTCTCCATGGAAATTTGGAATATTTAGAACTAGGATGAGAAAAAAAAAAAAATCTAGGACATTGATTTGTTCAGTAGCACCAACATGATGAGCACCTTCAGCATATTATTCTTCTATGATTTGAACAGGGATGCAAATTTTATAAAGCTATTCCACCTCTATCTATCGCCTCTAGCCCCATTCTCTTCCAGGGTGGGGAGATCTTTATCATTTAACCTAAGTAAAAGATGGCAGCATCATTTAGGAGACAGCATGAAGTAATAGAAAGAATGCTGGACTGGAAAATATTTGACCCTTGGACAATAAAGCCCCTTAAGCCTGCTAGGCCTCAATTTCCTCACCTGTAAAATAAACATACTTAAATATATGATAGGATATGTCATATTTAGATCCTGATATGTAGATCTGTAGGCTTTCTAAGGTCCCTTCCCTGTTCTAATATTTAATAATCTCACACCAGTATGATAGTTTCCTATTTAATGCCCACCCACACACTTGGGGGTGGAATGGGGGTGGGAGATAGGAGATTTTTCCCTCTGCTTTCTCCTTCCATTTCCAGGTAAAAGAGGAAAAAGACAAGAATGGAGTTGAATTGCCAAGAGCATTTAACTGCAAAGCTGTTGCCTAAGATCCTTTTAAATATCCAACTGGAGCTGGACTTTTAATGTAATTTTATGTCAGCAGGACATTTGAAAGGCCTGTAGGTAACTGTTGTTCACTTAAATATCCATGGCAATTCAATTCTACCATTCCAGCTTTTCTCCATGGTCAACAATCAGTCAACAAGTAATTAAATAAGTTATTAAACACCAACATCAAGTTATTAAATATAAACTGTGTGGCAGGTACTGTACTTGCAATGACTGGAAAATGCAGAGGAAAAGAAAAACCCAGGCTAGGGGTTAAACCAGTACAGGTTGCTGGGAAAGTACCAACTGTTTTCTGTAGTAATCTACACCAGGATAGCACTCTTCTAAGTGCAAAAAAGGGACAGGGAGTGGGCACAGAATTTATTATTGTAAACTGTATCTTAGCCACCTAGAAAACTTAAAGAATCTTTTAAAATTGCTGTCAAAATCATAACTACAATATAATTCAAACTAGGAGAATTTGCCTGTGATAGATATTACAAAGGTAAGAAGCAGCATGGTTTATAACGAATAGGAAACTTTACTTGGAGTCTTGAAGGAAACTAGCATTCATTAAGTGCCTGCCACGTAAACAGGAACCATGCTAAGGCATTATACAAATAATATCTCATTTGATCCTTACAACAACTCTGGGAGGCAGGTGCTATTATCCCCATTTTACAGTTGAGGAAACTGAGGCAGACAAAGGTTAAGTGACCTGCTTAAGGTCCCACAGCTAGTAGACGTCTGAGGCTGGATTTGAATTCAGATCTTTCTGACTCTAGATGAGGTTCTATATTCACTGAGTCACTAGCTGCCTTGAGGTAAAAGGACTGGGCTCACGTTCAGCCTAACACATAAAGGCCTCATCGTTTTGGGTAAACCATTTAATTCATCAGTACTCTAAGGCGGGTGATGTCAAACTCAAATGGAAATAGCTTGCTGGTGGATGCATATTGACTTAGAAAACCACCAATTAACAAAATTTGTATTTAATTTTTATTTATCTTGTTAAACATCCCAATTATATTTTAATCTGCTTGGACCGTACTAGGGAATTTTGCTGGTCTCCTGATGGAGTTTGACCCTCTCTGCTCTAGGCAACTTTTTTTTTTTTGAGACAATCAGGGTTAAATGACAATGTAACCCAGGGTTACATAGCTAGTAAATATCTGAGGCTGGATTATAAATTTAGGACCTACTGCCTTGAGGGCTGGTGTTCTATCCACTGTGCCACCTCACTGCACCGGTTAGGCAGCTTTTTATGAGTTTCTGAGAAGGTGCCCACCTGCACTGGTAGAGGGCATTTACTCATCCAGGAGTTCCCTATTACCAGTGAAATCACAGTCCCAGGCTCTATCCTGATTGCAAAGATATTTTCTCTCACTGGGCTCCACTCCTCCTCCACTTCAATTTTATGTTGAGATATACTGGAAAGAAAAGAAATAGGCCTGAAAGTATTTAACTCAGCTTTGCCAAACCCACAGAGTCATGGCCATGGAAATATGGGGACTGGGTTATTTGTTAGTGAACTGGGCCAGCTATTCAGAGTTTCCAAGTTTCCAGTACTCCACTGCCACTACAATAAGTTTGGACTAGTTCTTGGCCAGTGAAACAGGCCCAGAAAACAAAGGCGTTAGGGACCAGGTGTGTCTTCACCAGCCCTTTCAAGCTCTACTGGATCTACTCTGCCTCCTCCGCCATCATCCTCTTATCCTTGTTACTCTTCTACTTCCCTAGACACTGTTAGCCCTGAATGGTGACTCTTCTGAAGCAGCCCTTTGGCTTCTTCCCAGAAGTCCATTCACAGTCCAGAGCAAGACCCTGGAATCTTGTAAATTTTGAGTAGTCTGCCTAGCTCACAAATACCTGAGTCACTATTGTTTCCACAGCAACAGCTCTGTGGATGGGGTAAAGCCAGGGTACATAGAGATACACAACAGGATCGCTTTTAATGGAGCCATAAGGTACATAAAACAAACTTGTCAAGTTTGTCTCCAATTATCATGACTATAAGAAATTTTTAGGCATTTAAGGTGATCGCAGTGGGTGATGATAGTCAGCTATACTAGTGTTAAAAATCCATTACATTATTAATCACTTTAAGTCTCAGTCACTCCCCATAGTAAATTAAGGGGTTAGAAGGGTTGCTATTGTCTCTGAAATCAGGCTTTGTGAATGCCACTTCTACCTTTAGAATTGCTGTTTTGCCTTTTTTCCTTATCACATGGCAACAGAATCAGGGAATGCTAAGTACATCCCATAATGCTCTGCTATCTCAAGTGGATGAGCTCAGTACAGAACTGAAGGAAAAGAACAAGAAGGTGGTGAGTCTGGAAAGTCAGTTGGCAGACATGTCTGTCCTACGGATTACAGTGAAAGAGGTAAGTAAACTGCATACAGGCTATGCCAAATGCTGGGCAGATTGCCTTCTGGCAATTGGAGGTGGGTTGCACTAGAAGATCTAAACAATCTCTTGCAATTCTAGGATGCTATGATTTAGAAAGTAACATAATTTTGGTCCCCTCTTCTAGCAAGTGTATTGTTTGTCAATCCATTTGGACTGGTGGCAAAAATCCCCCTGGAGAGTTTCTGGAGGAGGTTTGTTAGTCCAAGAAGGACTTTGTGAGACCTCTTGAAAGCCACCCATGTCACTTTCCAGGCCTTCTTAGTCCACTTTTCCTAGTGTAAATGAAAACCTGAGAACAGTACTAGAAGTAGAAATCCACCATCAATTTCTAGTGCTCTAAGAGCTCTGAACTAATTTTTCTGATGGCATTCAACTTAATGCAACAAATATGTATTAAGTGCCTGCCATATACAAGGCATGGTCCTAGGCACCAGGAATGCAAATATTGTTGCTCAGTCGTGTCCAAATCTTCATGACTCCCTGGACCATGGGTTTTTCCTGGCAAAGATCCTAGAGTGGTTTGTCATTTTTTTTTTCCAGTGGGTTAAGGCAAACAAGGTTAAGTGACTTGCCTAGGGTCACACAGCTAGTAAATGTCTGAGGAACTCAAATCTTCCTGACTTCAGGCCCAGCACTCTATCCACTTAGCCTAGCTGCCTCCTATACAATTTAGGCTGTGCTCTCAAGGAATTGACCTAATGTTCAGGTAGATTTCCTTGTTTCCCCTTACACATGCTGCTGTGCACTAAAATAAAACATTCAGCTGTTAACTTTAAGCCTGTCGGCTAATCATAATTAACAAAAAGAACTGCTGACAGCTCTTTTTGTTGGTATGAGGACCTTCATTAACCTAAGCTAACTGTTCAATTGTACCCACAATAGTTTTAAGAACATTTTGAACTGTTAAAAATGTTGTCGAAGACATTTCATTACAAAAAATGTTTTGTGACGTCGTACTTCAAAATATTTGTTTTAAAAATAGTTTCTTATTGCATTTTCTATCATTCCCTCTTTGCCCAAATCTAGAACAGAATCTTTTTCACCAATCAGTTGTTTCCCCTTCCTTCAAACCTCTATCTACAGGTCACCAAATACAGTTTCAATAATTTTGGATCCTCTCAGCACCATAACGAAAATCTAAGGGGCAGCTAGGTGACGCAGTGGATAGAGCACTGGCCCTGGATTCAGGAGGACCTGAGTTCAAATGCGACCTCAGACACATAACACTTACTAGCTGTGTGACCCTGGGCAAGTCACTAAATTCCATTGTCTAACCAAAAAAAAAAATCTAAGAAGATGAAACTTAATAAGGATCCATGTATACACACCCTTCTTGCACTCAGGTTGAAAATATAAGCTGCACAAGAAGAGGGTAGGCTTAGTGGTAGTTCAAAGTTATTTGTGGTTGAGTTGTGTCTGACTCTTTGTGACCCCATTGGGGGTTTTCTTGGCAAAGATATTGGAGTGGTTTGCCATTTCCTTCTCAAGATCATTTTACAGATGAAGAAACTGAAACAAATAGGGTTAAGTGACTTGCCAAGGGTCACACAGCTAGTAAGTGACTGAGGCTGGATTTGAATTCTTGAAGAATTCAAGATTCCTGATTCCAAACCCAGTACTCTATCCACTATGTCACTTAGCTGCTCAAAGCTATTTACAATAAAAATAATAGACATATAGTAATAATAGCTTGTCAGTAATTTGCTCTATGTCCTCCTCTAATATGTCTTTGGTTGTCCATTTACTTTGTTACAGGTTTATACTTTATTTTATGTGTTCATAGTTAATGTGTAGCCTCTTTTTCTAGTTTGGGTTTTGTCACTTTGCCTTATTTTGTCTTTCCAAATTTCTTTATATTCCTAATATTTCTCATTAGTGGTATCTACTCTTTTGATGGCAGCATAACACTGAGATATCCATCTGTTTAGCCAATCTCCAATTATTGGATATTTAGGCTGTTTCCAATTTGGGGTATTATAAATAATGCAATAATAAACACATTTGTACACATCTTTTTTTTTTCTTTTTAATTACATCCTTGGGGTAGATTCCTATATTGAGATTATTGGTATTTTTCAGTTTTATAAGTCTTACAGTGCACTGCCAAATTGCTCTACAAAATGATAGCACCACTTTGCAATAAGAGCAGTAAACTCTTAAGTTATCTGGTTAGCATTGAGGATAGTAATTTTTTGTTCATTTTTGCCAATTTGATAGATGTGAAAATGTACCTCAAAGTTGTTTTAATCTACCTTTTTTATTTTAAGTGAAGTTTAACTTTTCCCATTGTGTTTATTTAAATTTGTATTTCTTCTTTTATAAATTGTTTACATTTCTGGGTCATGACCCAGTTATGGATCTACTAGAGTTGTATTATTGGGTCATACCATTTTATATCATTCCTATTATGCACTCTTGCATTTTTGCGTAATTTCCTTATAAATTCTAGATTTCATGGCTTTATATCTTATATATTGCCTATACTTTTTTTCTAATTGTTGTTTTTTTCTTTTTATCTTGGGTATAATACTTTTGTCATGCAGATTTCTTAAATTATATAATTAAATTAATTTACATGTCTTCCTGTGCCCTCTAGTGCTTGAAGTACATACAATTTGCAACATATTTAAGTGCATATAGGTTGCCTGTTCATGCAAGTATTTTTCAGTTTTCTTATTATTTGTCCTTTCTTTCCATTTGTATTTGTCAGTCTTTAAGGGCAGAGAGTTTTTTTTTCACTGTTTAAGGAATCTTTATTAAAGCAAGGATGTTATAATCCAAATTACGTTTCCTTGCTCAGCTATCAATTCTGTAAGTTTTTTTTGAGAATTTTCTATTCATGTTTATTTGATGTTTTTCTACACCACATTGCACAGTACTCTGCATTCAATAAGTAATGTTTAAAGACTGACCCAGCATTCCTTCATCTTCTTTACCAGGAAAGCATTGCAGTGTGGGTTTACTCCTACATATCTGGGTTTTCTCACTGCGGGAAATAAGGTCTGCAGCTGTAAATAGTAGATGAGTCATTCTCTTTCATAGCCACGCATGAAACCATTCTTCCAGGTTTCTCATTAATTTATTTCAGCAGTCCGTTCATCATCTTCTACTCTTACTTGGTCCAGAAGGATTCTTTGGTTTGGATTGATGTTTCCCTATCTTGGTTTCTACATTCAAGGTGATTATTGGAAATAGGCAAAGAAAGTATTAATATGATGGTGAAGAGAGAAATCAAGCTCTTACAAACTCAAAGCATTAGTTTTTAAGTAGTTGAAAATTTTTTTTAATTTTTTTTTCAGTTTCAGGACAGAGTGGAGGATTTAAAAAGAGAGAGAAATCTGCTGAAGGGAAATCATGACAGACTCTTAAAAAAGTGAGTACAAAGTGAGTACCAAGGAAGGGGACAGGAAAAAAGAGGGTTCTGTCCTGATTAAGAAGAACTGAGAAAGGGAGGCTCAGGGCAGCCTACCTGGGTATAATGACCTTGATGAGCAGCTTAGAAGCTTCAATTTAAAAAAAACACATGTAGTGAGTTCTTCATTATCTGTGGTACATTTTATTAATTTTTTTTTAATTTTTGGTGAAGCAGTCAGGGTTAAGTGACTTGCCCAGGGTCACACAGCTAGTAAGTATCAAGTATCTGAGACCAAATTTGAACTCAGGTCCTCCTGACTCCAAGGCCAGAGCTCTATCCACTTCGTCAGCTAGCTGCCCCTTCTATGGCACATTTTAAAACCAGACCTAGCTTTGTATGCTCAAGGAATGCAGCCTAGTTTTAATATTAGCCTAGATAAAATATAATTTGCAAAGAATTACTCAAAAAAAACTTATTCATTTAAAAAACCCTCTCCCCTAAATGACTGTTACCCATTTTTTTTGAATCATCCATGACAGTGATGTCCAATTCAATAGATATATGCCATTTAGCCATACACAAGGATCCCTGCAGGCTGCATATTGACTTCGAAACCCATATATTATCTATGTTTTATTGTATTTTTATTTATCTTATTAAATATTTCCCAATTACATTTTAATATAGTTTGGGCTGCCTTTGGGTGTGTTGTAGGCCACTGTAATTGACACTTTGGATCTATGTTTTTGTATAAACTAGCTTAGGAGATGGATATATGTAAATATACATATATATTTATATGTATGTGTGTGTATATATGTTTGTGCTATTGAGTTGTTTCAATCATGTCCAACTCTGCATGACCCCATTTGGAGTTTTTTTGGCAAAGAAAACGGAGTTGTTTGCCATTTCCTACTCCAGCTCATTTTATAGATGAGGAACTGAGGCAAACAGGGTTAAGTTACTTGCTCAGGGTCACACAGCTAGTATCTGAGGCAGAATTTGAACTCAAGTCCTCCTGACTCTAGGCCTTGTACTCTGTCCACTGTGTTGCCTAGCTGCCTATGTGTGTGTGTACACACACACTGCTAATGTTCTACCTTCCTTTGCCCCAGAGAACTTCATTGCCAGACTAATTGAGTATGCCAATAGATCTGGCAATGAAGTTACATCCTAGTAGAACATAAAGAAGATACAGTTGCTGCCCTTAGGTTCTATAACTTTAAAATCTAGTTAAAGACGCAAGGGAGAAGAGGAAAAATATTTGTCTTATAATCAATATAGCCTGTCTTAAAAAATATCTTTGTTCATGGTTCCCAGGCTAATGAAAACCACATTATAATGGAGAAGAGCTTTGGGGGGGTGGGGCAGGACAGTGGCTTTGGCTGGCCTGGGTGGGTTATCCAGGCAGAAACTCAAGAGTCCGACAGATGGAGTGTGGATCACTCATTTTTCACGGGCCCCTAAAGGTTCCAAGGCAGTTGGGAAATGACAGTTGGATATCCAGCAGGGTAGAAAGAACATGAAGGGGAGCAGATGAGATCCTCAACATAGGAAATGCTAAAACTACGGAAAATGAAAGCCATGTTGACAACCTCAAATTATCTTTCTGATGTTTCCTCTCTCCCCCACACTTCTCTCAACATTCCCAGCGTGTTAAACAGCAATAATCAGCCTCACTGGAGCACTGACCTCATAAAGGAAAGGCTCCAGCAGAAAGTCTCTCATCTACAAGAGCAGCTGGATTCTGAGGTAGAAGAGAAGAGAAAGATCTTGCTTCAGTTGGCTAAGGAACAGGGTAAGTGACAAGGTGTTTCAGTGGGTAGAGTGCTGGAAGACCTGGGTTCAAATCCTACCTCAAAGATACTTAACTATTACTCATCAATAACTAAAATTAGGTGCTTCCACTTTAGGATTCTTAACAGATCCCTATGTAATTCCCTCCCCCTTTCTCTTGTTTCCTTGATGTTTCACTCAATTTCCTCTACTTTTTGGGGTGAAGACACAAGGAAGAGCCTAATGCACATATGAATTTAGCTGTGGGAACCTAGGCAAGTCATTCCCCTTCTTTCTTTCAGCTTTACTTTCCTACTTCTGTAAAATGAAGATAACGTCAGGCTGTTGTGAGATCAAATGAGATACTGTATCAGAAAGTACTTACTTGGCAAACAACTCTCATAACTTTGCCAAGAAAACCCCAAATGGGGTCATGAGGAGTCAGACGTGACTGAAAAACAACTCAAACAACTCAACAGCAATAATAGAAAGTATTTTGCAAACCTTAAATACACACACACACACACACACACACACACACACGGATTATTATGAGTGGGATGTTATTACATCAAACTGCTGTTGCTCATTGATGGTAGTGTCTTCCAGACTTGGGTTTGTTTTGTTTGCTTATTCTTTTTTTAGAAGAAAGATGTTTTATTTTCTCTTTTATCTCCCTTACAAAAACTCAAGTCAATATGACAGGTTGCTGTATTTTTTTATGTCTATACACGTAAGTGCAGGACAAAATGGTACAAGATGAAACTAATCAGTTATATTGTTATAAAGCCCTATCTTAATGGACTGCCATTTCAGGATTTGTAGAGGTAATAGACCGTAATCATTCCCTTTTTAATTTCCACATTTCTTCTCTTAGAGCACTCTGTTTGCATCTTTTTAAATGTGTTGTGTGTGTGTGTGTGTGTCTGTGTCTGTGTGTGTATAACCCCATGTAATCTTAATCTAACACCCTCATTTTGCAGATAAGGAAACTAGGGCTTTGGGGCAGCATCAATCTCTATTTTGGTTATTTGTACTTATGCCTAAACTCTTACTAGTCTTGTGATCTACATGAGTTCAGGGATCATGTCTCACCAAAGCTTTGTATCTCTACCAGCTAGCTCCTAATACAATGCTGTGTACAGACTAGGTGTTTAATAAATGTTTGTTGAGGGACAGCTAGGTGGCGCAGTAGAACACTAGGAGTACCTGAGTTCAAATGTGGCCTCAGACCAAACACTTGACACTTACTAGCTGTGTGACCCTGGGCAAGTCACTTAAGCCCAATTACCTTAAAAAAAAAAGTTTCAATAAATGTTTGTTGAGTTGATTTTGTAGTTTGTCATGGATAGTTAGTATAGGGACACCAGAAATTAGCTCACATTTACAATCAAAGAAGAGTGATACAGACAAACATTTGTATTTTCCCACCTTTGTAATATTTTCGTCTTCAGTAGAATTAAAGTTTTTTGTTTTGTTTTGTTTTTGGCTAGGCAATGGGGTTAAGTGACTTGCCCAGGGTCACACAGCTAGTAAGTGTTATGTGTCTGAGGCCGAATTTGAACTCAGGCCCTCCTGAATCCAGGGCCAGTGCTCTATCCACTGCGCCACCTAGCAGCCCTTAGAATTAAAGTTTTTTGTTGAGTTGTTTTTGTCTTCCATACTTAGCTTCCTGGGAGGATTGCAAATTAATCATCTTCTTCTTTGCCTTACTTATTATGCAGTCTAGGAGTATTCAAAAGTCTCTTATAATAAGGAGCTGCATTTTTAGTCATGAGACCCCTGAAATTTGGGGTTTATATGGTTAACAAGTCCTTACTTGCTGGAAGATTTTTTTTTTTTCTGACAGACCTCATATAACTCTTAGTTATGGGATACAGGTGGTAGAAGCAAGTGAATTTAACAGGTGACTCCAGTGGCTCAAACTTTCAAAAAATGTCACAGAACAATAACTCAGACTTCCCTCCGGGAGCTTGCAATCCATGGCTTAGCCATATTAGATTCATATGTGCATCAGGATCTTCCTTGTGTCTCCACCCAAGAAAAGAAAGGAAAATCAGTGAAACATCAAGGAAATAAGAGAAGGGGGAAAAATACAGAGAGATCTGTTAAGAATCCTAAAGTGGTAGCACCTAATTTTAGTTACTGATGAGTAAATAGGCTAGAGAGCAAGAAAGAAAGAGAATCGGGTGAGCAAGGGGAATAAAGAAGGTAAATCCAATGGCTTTGTGTTCCTAGGACCAAATTTACCAAGGTAACTTTGGGCAGCAAGAGATATTTTTTTCCTTTTACTAGCTCAAAAATCTTAATCAAGAAAATGTTTTAAATGCCTTTACAGACTCACTTGTTTCTTTATCCAGCTGAAAATGCAGATCTGAAGCAGGAAGTCACCCAGATGCTAATGAAACATAAAAAGGAAGTAGAACTTCTCCAACAGAAAACTACCACCATGACCACTACTAGCAGCCAATCAGATCCAGACTTTTTGCAACCTTCACACCAAGATTATACAAGGGTTGGTTTGGGTTTTTATTTTTTGTTTTTGAAACACAGGTAATTGTTTCTTAGGAGTGGTCTGAATCCTAGACAAGTCGATTAATCCTGATTGCCTCCAGAAAAAAAAAAAAGAATGTATTTTATGCATTTAAACACATTATTCTTGTAAGGGATCCATCAACCTCACTAGAAAGTCATAGAGATACATGACACAAAAAGGGTTAAGAGTCTCTGCCATGGAGTCTAAAGCAAATGATAAAAATATAAAAAAGATAAAGAATCATTTTGTTTCAGGATGAACTGGAAATTGTGAAGACAACAAGAGAAGGCTCTGGTCTTTAATGCTGGGTCAATACCCTTTTTTTAAAAAACAAATCAAATAGTAAGAGAATAAGTGAACAACCAAATAATCTGTATCCAAAGTCAAACAGAATACAAAAAGCAGTAGGGAGTTTGAGAAAAGTGAAGATGGAGAACATATCACAATGCACAAATTCTTGGGAAGCCAGATTTTATTAGTTCTAAACTATCTTTTTTCACCTTAATCCTATCCTGCTCCTTACAACTTTAGTGTACCCCCTACTATTTAAAATTCAAGAAAAAAAAGAAAAGAGTAGCATCATGGTGGTACAGGATCATAGATTTAGAATTGGAAAGGACCTTAGAGTGATCTATTCCAGGCCCCTTCATTTTCTAGATAAGGAATACAAAGAGTGGAGAGGTTGCTCAACCTCAGGGCAGAGCTAGGATTGCACCCACAGCACTTAATTGTAGTTTGTGTTGCCTCATACAAAAAATATTTTGAGGCAAAATCTGTTGATGACATTTTACCAGTAACCACTTCTTTATAAGACATTTATTATTACATTTATCATACTTAAAATGCTTTTTAACCAATTCTTTTCTCTTTGAAGACCCATGAACTGAACTGTCTACAAGAAATCCAAGAAGACGAAAAGAACCTGTCTTGGGCTTATAATGAGATGAAGGTGGCACATGCAGAAACTGCACTAGAATTAGAGAAGACAAGAGACATGCTACTTGTGCAGCACCAGATCAACAAACGTTATCAGGTGCACAAAGGAAGGGAGCAGGAAGTGGATGTGGTACTCGGTGATGCGTCACCATTTAAGAGAAGGGAAGCAAAGTTACATAGGAACTGATACATCTTTCTATGTTGTCATGTCCAGGCACTATGCCACTGTCAGCAAAGCTGATACCTGTTCCCATTGCAGAGGCTGAAAGACAACAGTGTTTTCATAAAATGCTGGCAATAAGAGTAGGTCAGGAAACGGCTACTGCATACAGGGAATGTGGAACTCTGCTGTATTTCTAGAAGCCATTTTTGCTGCTCCCAAGAACCTGACACTGCATGACACTACTACATCAGTTGTTTCCTGGGGCAATGCCATCCTTGAAGGGTTACCTAAAAAATAAATCCATGAGTAGCCACTCCATTCTTGAAGAAGCTATTGGCAGAATATCCCCTAGCCCAGTTTTCCCTGAACTTCTTAAAGCAGAGTTCTTAACTTGTAGTCCATGAACTTTTTTTCTCAATATTTCAATAACTATATTTCAGTATATTTTATTTCCTTTGAAAGCCTATGTATTTGAGGCAGCTAGGTGGTGCAGTGGATAGAACACCAGCCCTGGAGTCAGGAAGACCGGAGTTCAAATTTGGCCTTAGACACTCACTAGCTATGTAACCCTGGACAAGTCACTTAACCCCAATTGCCTCTGGGAAAAAAGAAAGAATCCTACGTATTTTATGCATTTAAACACATTATTCTGGTAAGGGATCCATCAACCTCACTAGAAAGTCATAGAAATGCAGGACATGGTAAGGTTAAGAGCCCCTGCCTTAGAGTCTAAACCATAATGATAAAAACACAGAAAAGATGAAGAATCCTTTTGTTTCAGGATGAACTGGAAATTGTGAAGGCAAAAGCTGATAATAGTGAGAGAGAGCACAAGGAGGAGTGGGAGAAGTTGAATCGACTCCTGGACCTCAAGAACAATCGAATCCAACAGCTGGAAGGTAGTTTTGGAAACACAGATTTAGTTAAAGCTTCCTCCCCCTTATCCCAGCCATTGCTAAGGGAACTGCCATCTGTTTTACTCAGTGTAGCTTCCTTACTAACCCTACTTCCCTCTGTGATTTCCTAAAAGGTGTCTTCTCTTTGTTCTTAGAATATGCTCTGGACTCAGAGGGCCTAGATTTAAATGGTGCCTCTGAAGCTTACTACTTTTGAGATCTTTGGGAAAATAACCTCCCAATATACCTTTGTTTCTTTATCTATAAAATGAGGGGTTTGGATCAAAAACCCTTTATCCCATCATCTTATTCATACTATTAGCTCGGTAGAAGAAAAGCTTGTGTCTCTTATTTATCCTGTCATTACGTTTCATTGTGTGCTATGGGAAGTGACTTACCCTCTCTGGGGTTCAATTTCTCAACTGTGAAATGAGAGGTTTCTACTAGATGAGTTCTAAGGTAGCTTTCTAATTTAACATTCTTTAAGCTACATGAAGTACAGTCAGGGGGAAATGGCTTCTGGTATTAAGAGTCACTTTGCTTTCTTCTTGCTCTGTCCTCCAGTCTCGGTGGTTTCTCCCTTAGAATCGGCACTACTTTACATCAAGCTATAGGCTGAAGCTTCTGATTGGTGCCTAGTGGAAGGTAATGGTCCAGATTAGGTAGAAAGGCTGTGTGTGGCTGCCCGTGTCATATCAGCATTGCTTAGGTCTTTGTATTTTTCCCTTTCTAATTCATCTAGAGTGAGTGCTTAATACCATGCTCAACAGAATGAAAACAAATCGTGTGACTCTCCTCTAGCTGCTCCCCTTGTCACTGATCCAGTGTGAAAGTTAAGACATCAGGCCCCACAGGGCATCTTGTAACAGACCCTCTGTGGTGGTGGGGCAATGTGATTAAATGTACCTGTTACAGGCACATGGTAGTAGTCATATATGTCATATAGTCACATGTGATCATAAGATATATAGTCACCAAAGAGGAACTCTTAAGAATATGTCATACCTTGTTCTTTCTTCATTCAACATTCCAAGCCTATTCTACTTGTTGGAAATAGTCACAGTGAATTTATTATAATGATCCTCTGACCAGAAACCATGACTGTCATGATCTCACTAGGTGACACAGTGGATAGAGTGCTAAGCTAGAGTGAATTAGGAAGATAAGTTCACATCCAGATATATATTAGCTGTATTATCCTGGGTAAGTCACTTAACTTCCATTTGCTTCAATTTCCTCAACTGTAAAATGAGGAATAATAACACTTAGCTAGAAGGGTTGTTGTGAAGTTCAATATTTGTAGAGTGCTTAGTATAGTGCCTGGCACTAATAAGTGCTTATTCTGCCCCCTACCTTCATCCCTCCCCGCTTATCAAAAACAGTTTGATCTGGTTAATGAAATTATTCATAAATTTTTTTTGAGCTTGATGTATATATTACATACAATGTTTACTTTTCAATCATCTATTTGGTCAATTCTCCCTCAAAAAGTCATTGGTTTTATTTGACATGTCAGTAACAGATTTCATATTTGAAGTTAAGACTCCCAGACATAATGCTTTGCCCCTGTTGCTTGAATGGCCACTTTCAGCCCTTTTCTGTTTCTACCAATTAGTTTACTACTCAGCTCTTGAATGAAGAGGTAGTTTTTTTTCCCCTTTAGCACAGCTCAGAGATGTGGCTTATGGTACCCTGAGGTTTCCACTGCATCTGGAAATGCCAGTCCATGGGGAGAATATGGTAGACTGCCTTCAGCTGCACCAGGGAGAAAACCTTTTTGAACTGCATATTCACCAGGCCTACTTGTCACCTGCAGCTCTGTCCCAAGCTGGAGATACCCAGCTTGCCTCCTTCTGTACCTATTCCTTCTATGATTTTGAAATCCACTGCACCCCACTGGCTGTGGGACTACAACCTCTCTATGATTTCACCTCCCAGTATGTGGTGAAAACAGATTACCTTTTCCTGAACTATTTACAAGGGGCTTTATCCCGAATTAACCTCCACCAGACTGCAGCTCTTGACCACAGTATCCTTGCAGTTGGCTGGCTTCGTTTTGACAAAGTGCTAGAGACAATGGAGAAGGTCCATGGCACTGTCATGCTTATTGGTAAGTGCCCCCCTGATTTTCCCATAACTGTTAGTATTGGCTCCCTGGCTTTCCCACAGCTCCTAGTATTAGTGTAGATTTTCCCAAGCTCCCTGGCTACTCTTGAACTGTTTTTTACAATCTCTTCCTTTGTTTTTTAACTATGTTATTACCTCTGTTTCTTCCATGCATGTCCCACTTTCTGGTCTCCAGGAAATAATGGAGAAGACTTTGGGACATTGGATTACTGGATGAGGCTGAAATCCCCCATAGCACACTGCCTACAGGCATACAATAAGCGATTGAAGGCCCAAGCATACCTGTCTGCTAATGTACTTGGGGCCAGGAAGGCTCAGCCAGAGGAGGTGAGGAGAATGCACCAATATATTTCAAAGGAGCTACTGCCCAACAGCTTATCAGAACAGCACTAGCAAGTTAATAATCCAATTCTCCTAGCCTTAATCAAGTATTCTGAGCTTATTCCCAGTTGTGGCTCCCATTCAAAGGAACAAGTCCCACTTTTTAGTCTTCATTTTTACAAAATGCATTTTGTGCATGGAACGCTGAGGAGGGATGAAAAATATGTAAAAAGTACTTTAAACTTACTTTTTAAAAGATATTTTATGGTAAGGTTTTCATTTCTCCTTCTGGGTCTAGCCAGAAGGGTACACACAGTATGCTCTCTTGAATTTAGATGAGAGAGATCCTTAATCATTTATTTTGGATTCTCTTGTTGATTGAGCTTGCACTAAATTTGAGAGTAGAGTACTTACAGATGCTTTTCTATGCCACTTTTAAAGAATAAAGACATAAATAGGCAGTGGTCATTAGGTTTCTTGTCATCACTATCATCAGGTGAAAATTCAGGAGGTCACACTCCCCGTTGGGCAGTACTCTGGTCTACTAGTCACAATTCGAGAAGCCTGCTAGCTTTTCCACAACCAATGAACTACCTCTTTCCAGTCCAGATCAGAGATTTTCAAGCATAGGAATCAGTTGTGGGTGGAAATCGTCAGGTGCTGCAACCTTCGGAGCCGACATCTCGGTGCACAGCCCAGCCCATATGCCATCTACCAATTCTTCACCTTTTCTGACCATGACACACCCATTATTCCTGCCAGCAACCATCCCCACTTTGGTGATCGGGCCAGCTTCCCAGTGCACATGACCTTGGAACTGGATGGGTATCTCAGGCAGACAGTCCTGCCTGTATATGTGTTTGATGACAATGAATCGGAGCTAGGCTGGTTCCTTGGCAAAGTTCAGGTACCTTTGCTGCCTCTTGCACAAGATAAAGCCATTCAAGGTGAGGGCTCGATGTTATTGGACCATTCCCCTTACTCCTGTCTGTGAGGTCTTCTAAAAATCCCCAAGCTATCTGTCTTGAATTGCTTGCTTGAAACAATGCAAGCTAAATAATAGCTGCAAAATAGACAATAAGGTCTCATCAAGAGTAATGGAACACAAGAATTCAGTGCCCTTATAGGAGAACCCAGGACTTTTCTGTTTCTTACCAGAAATATAAATTAAACAAAATCCCTCCAACTTGGTAGAGTCACCAATTTGAATGCTACACTCTGTCTTGGATATAAAGTGACCAAAGCTTTATAATAGTGTTGCCTGGGATTTTTCCTAGTTTAATCTTTCTGCTTTTCATTTTGAGGCTTAATGTTTCTTATTACATGTTAATGAGCTGTGGCATTAAATCATCCCCTCATTCTACTTTCTTCATTTTTTAAAACTCTAGACAATAACCATGATTATACTTACACATATCCTTTCCCCTAAATTCAATTTTAGCTATTTCTTTTCCTAAATAGAACTAACCTCACTTCTTTCTACTCTCATCTCCCCACCCCTTAACCCTACCTAACTCCCTGTCCCTCATGCATGAGAAGGAGCAGTCTTCCTGAATGTAGCTCTGGGAAGATGGTGGAGATGGGGGTGGTAGGATCAGGAAGCATTGATGCCAGCACCAACTTGGCTTACCTGGATTTGGAGACATTCATATTCTATCTCTGCTAATTTACCAGTGTGACCTTGAGAAGATCACTACCTTTTTAAGTCTTTTTATTTTTTCACCTGAAAATGGCTTTAGGAATTAGCTCTAAGGTCCCAGCTCCAAGTCTGTAACACTAGGATACTTCTGTGTGGTCTGGTTAATTATCAACATCACCAGCTACCTGAATCAAAGGTGTCCCTCAGTGGGGGCTCCTAGGAGGCAAGCCACATTTCCCTACCTCTTTTCCCACCTAGAATGCTGAAATACTTTCACTCCCCTATAAATTCAGTAATGTGTGGTGTAATTCCTGAGTAATATTAGCCATCATTATTATGTGATGGAACTTCATTTTATTACCAATAAAACTTAGATTAATTCACACCTGAAGGAAAGGCCATAATGTTGAATCATCCAGACTTTGATATCTATTCATACCTGTGTGTTTCAGGTAACTTCAACCTCAATGACCCTATGGGGAAACCCAATGGGTCCATTGAACTGAAATTGGAGTGGGAGTCTCATTACCTTTCTCCAGAGAGTTCACTGAAGCCAGCAACCCAGTCTGTTGAAAATGACAACAAGGCACCCCTGTCTGTGGAAAATTACAGTGAAGTGCCCTTATCTGTAGACAAACACAATGAGGCAAACCTGCAAGTAGAAGATTACAATGAGGCACCTCCCTCTGTAGAAAATAAAGAGACAGACTTGCATATAGAACATTACAATGAAACACCCCTGTCTGTGGAAAACTACAATGAGGCACCCCTGTCTGTGGCAAATTATGAGGCACCCCTGTTTGAAGAAAATCCTGAGGTACTCCTATCTGCAAAAAAGTACAACAAGGCAAACCTGTCTGTAGAAGATTACAATGAGGCAGACTTGTCTATGGAAAGTTATAATGAGGCGTCCCTGCATGTAGAAGATGACGAGGAAAGCCTGCCTGTAGAAAATTACAAGGTAAACCCATCCATAGAAAATAATGTTGAAGCAAAGCTGTCTACAGAAAACCTCGACGAGGCCAAGTTGTCTATAGAAAGCTGTGATGAGGCAAAAGAATCTATAGAAAACTGTGACCGGGCAAAGCTGTCTATAGTAAACTTCAATGAGGCAAAACAGTCTAGAGAAAATGACAATGAGATGCCCTTGTTGGTAGAAGATTATAATAAAGCACCTGAACCGATAGGAAATTATAATGAGAAACTTATAGAGATTCCAACTGAAGAAGAAAATATTTTATTTCACCAGGTAGGGAGCCCTTTGCCTGTTCAAGGAAGGAATGATGAAGGAGAAAGTATGATGAGGACTGGGGTGAAAGGACAGTGTTTTGCACATAGTAGGTGCTTAATACATGCTTGTTGAATTATTACTGAGAATACCGTATCAGTACCACTGAATTCACTAAACGTTTGTAAAAAACAAACAAAAAAATAACTTACTATGTGCCAGACACTGTGTTAGGCTACAAAGATTTTATGCATTTTGTAGTTATTTGGAATGGGATTTCCTATTCTTCACTCCTGTATTTTGTTATGATTACATAGAAATGCTGTTGACTATATGGGCTCATTTTGTGTTTGTTATTTTATTGAAGCTATTGTCTAAATTAGTTTCTTTGCCGATTCTCTGGGGTTTTCTAAGAAACCATTATATAATTAGCAACTAGAGATTGCTTTATCTTCTCTTTGCCTATGTTTTATCTTTAATTTCTTTTTCTTATCTTATTGTCTTCACTAGTATTTCTAGAACTAGTCAAATAACAGCAAGGAAAGGGGACCATCTTTATTTTACTCTTATATCTATTGAAAAATGGATACAAGGACAAAACTAGGACAGCTCTTGTCCTTGAGGAGCTCACTATCTATTGGGGGTAGAGGAGGAAATGTATAATATAGAAATCTAAATGTAGAATGTATACAAAATAACTTCTGGGAGGAACACAACTAGGAGACAAGACCAGACTTCTGTAGGATGTGGCATTTGCATTGAGCTTTGAAGGAGACCAGGGATCCTATGAGGCAGAGGTGACGTGGGAATACCTGTGAGACAGCTATTCAAAAGCACGGAGGGAGGGGACAGAGTACATCCTTTTCAGAGAACAGCGAAGAGGTCAGCTGGATTGAAGTGTAAAATGTATAAAGGAGGGGCAGCTAGGTGGAGAAGTGGATGGAGCACTGGCCCTGGAGTCAGGAGGACCTGAGTTCAAATTCGGCCTCAGACACATAATACTCATTAGCTGTGTCACTCTGGGCAAGTCACTTAACCCCAACTGCCTCACCAAAAAAAAAAAAAAAATATAAAGCAGAGTAATTACACTGAACAAGCAGAAGGATTTGTCTTTTATCCTAGGTGTAAGAGGCAGCTTCTGGAGAAAGGGGATTGTCATGTTTGGATTTGTGTTTTAGGGATACCATGCAGGCAGCTCGGGAAAACTGCTGTGTTTCAGGAATGGCTCTTTGGCAGTTAGCATATATAGAAAATATGTACTGGAGGAAGGTGGCCAATTAGGAGGTTGCCGCAAATAGTGTATTCTGGAAGTGATAAATTCCTAAACTAGTGTGGTGGCAGGGTGAGTGGAGAGCTCCAGACTGATACAGGAGAAGTTGAGGAGATAGAATTGTCAAGACTTAGCAACTGATCGGATATGGGGGGTAAGGTAGCAGCAACAGTCAAAGATGACACGGAAGTATGGTGAACCTGTATGCCTCAAAGGATGATGGTGAGTTCAATAGAAATAAAGAATAAGGAAGTTAGGTTTAAGTTTTAGGAGAAAGATAATTTCATTTGGATGTGTTGAGTCGGAGATGTATATGAGACATAGAGGACAGAGATGTAAAGCAAGCAATTGGTGATGTGGGACTGGAGTTGAGGAGAGAGATGAGGGCCAGATCAGTAGATTTAGTAATCATCTGGAGAGAGATGATAATTGAACTCATGGAAGCTGAGGAGAGAGAGACAGAGATTCAGAATAGGACTGAATCTTGGAGCACAATGAAATAAAGTGGGGTGGGGCATTGATGATGATCCATCAAAGGGAATTAAGAATTACTCAGCCAGGTAGGTAGCAGGAAATAAAAGAAAGAGCATGAAAACCCAGGGAGGAGGGACTATCTGAGAGGGAGGGAAGGAGTCAGTTTAGCACAATTCTTTGGTTTCACTACAGAGAACAATCATTGTCTTTGTTTCTGGGTTCCCCTGGAGTAAAGAAATAACAACTAAAATGAATTTGAAAATCTGTTTTTTAGACATTATAGTTGTGGAAATTTCTTCCTCTAACCCTTCTGAAAAGGGTTAGATGACTTCTGTTGCTGGTGTAACTGAGTCTAACCTGCAAGAAATAACAAAATAAACTTTTAGATTTAGAAAAAAAGAAAAGGAAGCCTCAGGTTGAAAGGTATATGAGAATAAAATATGACAGGAAAGATGAGTAGAAAGTAAAATCCTAGTCTTGATTGCTTGATTGGAAATAGATTGGAGGTGAGAACTGAGGGGAAGGTAAGGATCTCAGAGCTGTCCCCAAAAACCATATTCTCAAAGCTGGAGGACAGAGGCACACGCTGTCATCATGGCCATTTAACCCAAGTTGGTTATAAACACCATAAATTTATCTGAATTAGGTATTTAAAAAAATCAGTCTGTACTTTTATATGTAATGGAAGAAATGGGGCTGAGCATGTGCTTGGGCTACTTCTGGTGTCATATGGGCCTTAGACCCTTGTTAAAGGGCGTATGTGCTCCTGGTTCATCTCTTGATTTCTGTAATGGGTACGTGGCAACAAGAATTGGTGACTAAGCCAAGACAAACTACATGGTAGCATAAAAGGAGATGCCACATTCTCCTGCCTTTTGGTTTTTTCAAATGTGTGGCTTGGCACTCCAAGAGCTTTGCTTGGATTTCCCATTGAGGGCAAAAAGGAAAAAAGAGAGGGAATTCCTTTCTCACCCTCTCCAGTAGTTGTTGTGGTGGCTTCAGGTACATCATTTTGGATGTGCTTCCTTACTCCTCCCATCTCCCACAATTGTGATGACCAAGGGACGCATCAGGAAGGTCAGGTCATTCATACCCTTTACCAGGGGGCCAGAGCCTGAGCGTATACTTGCTGAGTCCCCTCACAACTGTTACAGAATCATCTTCCAGGAAAGAGAGAAAAACAATTTCCTACTAGAACTGTATGAAGATTTGTGCATAGATACTTGAATATATAGGGCCTGGAAATGGACAAAAGATTTATGTATTGAGGGGTTGGGGTGGCTACAGGTGTGATGGAAATCAGGTGGGATTAGTCTGGAAAGGCTTTAGGAAAGGGGAAGGGAAAGTCTGGAGAGAAGATAAAAGGACTCTAGATCAATAGAATACAGCTGTGCTATAGGAGAGTTCTGAAGAAGCGTATAAAATGGCTTTGGTGTTTTTGCCTTTCTTTGTATCCCCAGTGCTTAGCACAGGATCCGGCACTTAGTAAGTACTTAGTGCTACTTGACTTGAAGAGATGGGAGGAAGGTGGGAGAGGAGAAGGGGGAAAAATACTGTATTGTGGTTCAGAGGGGGAAGAACCTGAAGAAAAGCTCACATGCCTACTTGGGAGTACAGAGTCCAGGGAAAAAGGTGTAGCAAATGAATTCGGTGAGGTAAGGGGGAGCCAGTAGCTTTGGAAGCCATTTCTAAATTCTGAAGAAAGGATAATAAGTTGAAAACAATGCTCAAGGGAAAGGATTCTGGCACCTTTGTGTTGGATCTGGGAGAAGTTCAGTGACAAGGTTAACAAGGAAGCACTAATCGCCAAGGTTTTGATTCTCCTCAGCACGAGTATCATTATCCTCCTCAGTCACCTCATTAACATAAAGAAATCAGACATGTACGTCTTAAAATATCGTAACCTGATACTGACCCTCCCCACTCCCCCCAGTCCCAGCATTAATTGAGCACCTACTGCTTAGATGGTAGTATTCATAGAGACTTAATAGAGACCGAGGAAACTAGACTGAAACCACTGCCAGCTGTACGATGATGGGTGTCTTTTTCTGAAGCAGGTGAAGAAGAAATTGTCAGGTGCTACTGATGATGCACAAAAAGAGCCAGAGGAATGTCACCCACAAGTAAAGCAGCAAGAGTCTCCATCTCCTGACATTGGTATTGTCTCTTTCAGACTCCACTTGATCCTTAACCACTAATGAAACTTAGTTTAGTTACTTACTCCTTTCCTATACTATTCAAGGCTCTATTTTTACTAAAGGATAAAACAAAAGTGCTAAACCTTATGCTGTGGTAATAATCTGATGGAGTTGGTAACCAACAGCCAGGCTAATCACACGTTTAACTATGGCACCTTAATTAAAGATTATGCTAATGTTAGTTATCCCTAAAACCCCATGAAATACTGAATTGAGAGGAGCAGAAGGGGAAAGTGTGTTTAACTCAAATGTGTGTTACTGTGTATATTTTTCTCTTAGAGGAAAATCTATCTTCTTTATAGGATCATAGGGTTTAGAACTGGAAGGAACCTTAGAGAACATTCAGTAAAACTGAGACTCAGGTTATATACCTTACTGAAGGTACAAACATGGTAAAGCCTTGAAATTCTCAAAGGAGAATTGTAGGACTGGAGAGGGCACATAACTTATGGATAGAATTTTTCTTTTCTTCCTTGTAAGAAACAAGCTTCTCTGAACCATGATTCAGCTCTTTCCAATAGTGAGAACTCAGTATAGGAAATTATCTTAGAAATACCTAATCTTGGATCTTAAGCATTCTTTGTCTATGCCCTTGGCAATTAGCCTGTAAATACCAACTGAACTATTCTTTTTTTTTTCTTTTCACCTGAACTATTCTTAAGACAGGTAGGTAGTGTTGTCTAATATACTTCATCTATCTACATGTGCTTCCCATCCCTTTCCACATTCCTTTCTGCCTTGTGTCCATTGGCTTTCTATTCATGGAGAATGTGGTTGATAGAGATAAAGGAAATTCTAAGAAGATCAGGGAGTAGCTATTTAATTTATGAGTGAATGTAGAAAGGGAGACTATTTTTTTTCTTTTTATATAAGCTCCTTGTGGGTAAGGATTGTTTTACTTTGGTTTTATATCTGAAATACTTAGCATAACATCCTGCACATAGGTATTTGATACATGTTTATTGAATTGAATTAATTAGGCAGACCAAAGCAAATGTAAATAGTTTACATCTTCATATTCTTTCCAATAACTCTCTTTCTCTTGGGCCTCAGATGATCAAGAATAGAACTTCTCTATCAGCATTCTAGACACATTGGGCACAAGCCAAAAATCTGTAGTAGATCGGTCCTGGAAGAAGTTCTAGACTTAATCAACAAACATACTAGGTGTTGGGAATACAAGGACAAAATGAAACAGTCTTTCTCCTCAAAGAGTTCACAGTCCTGGCTCTTACACTAGCTATGTGGGCATGGTCAAGTCACCTAATCTCTGTTTTCTGAGCAGTTAAATGGAGGTAATATTTTTGCTACCTGTCTCAGAAAGTTGTCTGTTATAAGAAATGGGCTTTGTAAATCCTAAAGCACTATAGAAATGTAAGTAGAATAGTTGAGAGGAGGCTTCCCAGTATGTTGGAAAGAAGTATTGGCTCTAGAGTTAGAGAACCTTTTTCTGATCCCAGCTCTGTGGGGTACTTCCTGCCTGAGCTGCACTGGGCAAGTCTCTTAACTGATCTGGGCCACAGTTTCCTCATCTATAAAATGAGGGAGTTGAATAAGATGATCTTTGTGGTCCCTTTCAGCTTCAGATCTATGATTCTATGATCCTATGTTATTGCTATATTACTGTCAGTGAGTCATTATGGACATGATATATAGTGCTTTTTAAGAAAAGAAGCAATTTCTATTTAACACATAAAAATAGCTATTCTTAGTTAATAATGGTCTAATGATTATTATGGAAGATGCCATAGAAGAAAGGAATGTGCCTTGTTTAAACTCATATGTGCCTCTAGTTTTATAGCTTTATGCTTTTTTTCATATGCTGTACTAAGATAGCAACCTATTTTATTTGAGACCTTCCTGTCTCTGGGACTGCGAATACTTCAGGGTAGATCTGAAACAAGGCATTTTAAAAGCCTTGGCAGGATTTTAGTATCCCTGGGGGTAACTATTGACTGGAGGATGTACTGTATCATAGGCAACTTGGTTTATTGTAAAACAAGTGCCTATGTGACACAGAATACTCTCCTGGCATGAAAAACATATCCATTTATTTTAAACAGTGTTAAAGTGCCTGAACTTGTGTCCAGGAAGTTGCCTACATGTTTGCAGCCTCTGCTTCTGAAATATTGCCTCTCCTTATTTTTGTCTTATTCTGGAACCCTTACTGAAGGATTTTTCTTTCCTGTTTTAGAAATATGCCTGTGATAATTAGAAAATTTTCAGAGTAAGTGAAACTTTGTGAAGAGGCATCTCTGCAAAATATAATCCATTTCTGGATGCCATGACTTTATGACCTAAAGCCAAACAATGGGGTTCAGAAGTTGTGTGTATTGGACCTTTTGTTGGGAAGAGTGGGTTATCTGGCACAGAGATATAACTTCAGTCTTTTCTACGGCAGCAAATCGACCTTCTGAACAAGCTGATGAAGCCAGTGAAACACCGACAACAGACAGTGATGATGTCATAGTGACACCCCTGTCTCAGAAAGGGCCTAAGAGAGTAAGTCAATCTGGAGACAACCAATGAGGGTGAGACAAGACTGTAAACTTGGAGAACAAGTGATATTTAAGTGAAGGAATAAAAAACAGGTGCAAGCTCTACTTCTTATTTGGCCAACTAAAAATTAGAGACAATATGGTGCAGTGGAAGAGAGCTGGCCTCCAACTTACGAAGAGCTAGGTTCAAATCCCTCTTCAGACATAGGCTATGTGACCCTGGGCAAGTCAATAATATTTACTTCTCAATGTTCTTAGCAAATCTCTAAGACTCTTTTAAGTTGCAGACAAGGTACTGACCAGGGTTGGTAGAGGGAGTTTCCCCAACTAGGATCTCCTTATACCAATGAAATTACAGGTGGTCTAGTTCCTATCCTAAAAATTATGAAGTCATAGGATTTCCAGAGTTTCTAGGGCCCTCCATAGGCATCTAGTCAACTCCTAAGTTAGTGGAATATCAACATTACTTAGCCAAATTTGAATTACACTATATTGGAGATTGAGCATACTACTTACTATATGCCAAAATGATTATTTTATTTTAATTAAATGAACTTTAAAAAAATTTTTTTTGGGGGGACTAGGCAATGGAGTTAAGTGACTTGCCCAGGGTCACACAGCTAGTTAAGTGTTATGTGTCTGAGGCCGGATTTGAACTCAGGTCCTCCCGAATCCAGGGCTGGTGCTCTATCCACTGCATCACCTAGCTGCCCTGAAATGAACTCTTTACCTACAAGGGCAAACCGCCTACAAGGATTGATCTGTCACCTTTATACTCTGCACCAAACTGAGAGCAACTCTAGAGTCCAGAGTGTGCTTCTGGATTGTCTTGTTTCTGGGATCTTTCCAGTGAGACTCTTAACACATGTATTTATACACACACACACACACACACATACACATATGTATATATATGATCATTTCAAATAGAAAAACTGGTAAAAAAAAAAAAAGCTGGAACAAAAAATGGTAATGAGAATTACTGTATGGAGAGGATTTGTGAACACATCTATTTTATTAGATTTTTTAAAAAACAAATCGGCAAATCACTATTACTATAAGCCTTGTGCCAGGGTATAAAATAACTTTATTAAAAAGATACATATTGAAATGGCATTCCTTAAAAATAAATTTTGCCTGTATTGCTTGTATCAGGTGTCTGTCAGAACTCTGTCTCTGCCCCAAGTGGACAGAATCGTGGGAATTCTCATGAAGTAAAAAGAGGGAAAATTTGAAGAAAAGTCTTCCTTATTTAGTAGAGATAAGAGGTAGTAAGTAGGGGATGTAACTGCTGGGAAGAGTAGGATGATTTTTGGGAGAAAGGCAAGGAGAAGGTTTAGAAAAGTGGGATCTGCACAGAGAAAACATTCCATTTCTGCTTTCATTGCTACAGATTTCAAAAGGTGGTCAGTATTTAATAAATACTCATTGTATTTTTCTAAATGGAGTGTATGAAAGGGTCCTTATCCTCAAGGACTGTACTATTGTCATAGTGGAAATGGGTCCTTATCCTCAAGGACTGTACTATTGTCATAGTGGAAAGAGCACTGGATTTCAAGTTAGAAAACCTGGATTTAAATTCTGATTCTTTCACCTTCCTTCCTACTGTAATACTGTAAATTTTGTGTTAACCAGTTGGGAATAGGTTTCACTATCAGGAGGTTGCCCTGCATACATTCTACTTAGGGTCCCTGAGTAGAATCTATGATTCAAGAGTGTGAGAGAAAGAAATTAAACAGGGAATTTCTGATAATCAACCATTAATAGTCCCAAAGATGTATCTCAACCGTCAATCACTTAGAGTCTTGAATATTAGGGTTCTTCTGGTAGTTTCCCATTCCCCACTCATAACTGTTAGGTTTTTTTTTTTCTCTCTCTCCCAACTTTCTGTCATTCCTCATGCTCTTGGCCCTGTAAATGGCAAGGCCATTTGGTTCATGAATTCCCTGGCAAAGCATGGTGCCATCTAATGAAAGATGAGAGCAAAACTTTCAGAGTCATCTTTTTTCTTCTCCTGACCTCCATGTCACTTCTCTTGCCTTCCTTTTTATCACCAGTGTCCACCATCCTAGCCCCAAGTCCCATCTCCAAGCAACAACACTCTTTTATTATCTTCAGTCACTCAGAGAGGGTAAAGGAGAAGAGATCCTGGTACTTGCTTCATATCATTTAAGAGGAGGCCTCCTTGTCTAAAAATAATCCCCATACTACCTAAAATTCTAATTAGTGATTCATTTGGGTTACAAATATTAAACATCTCCTAGCTGTAAAATTATATGACTGTAATGTTTAAAGATTGAGAGAGGGTCATTTATATATTAGATTAGTTTAATCAGATTACTTTCCTAATATTTTGATGGAATGAGAATTTTGATAAGAGGGAAAAGGAAATGGTCATAACACTTTACTTGTAGTATGCAAACTTGAGTAGGCTATCACAGAGGAGGTTGTGGAGAGTTACCAGGTTTCATAAGGACACTAGACTTCTAGGGTTTGATGATAAAGGTTTAGAAAGGAGGTATCATTACTTGGGTAGTGAGGTAGTGCAGTGGATAGAGTACAGGGCCCTAAGGCAGTAAGACTCATCTTCCTGAGTTCAAATCTGGCCTCAGACACTTGCTAGCTGTGTAACCCTGGGTAAGTCACTTCACTCTGTTTGCCTCAGTTTCCTCATCTGTAAAATAATCTTGAGAAGGAAATGGGAAACCACTTCAGTGTCTGCCAAACAGACCCTATATGGGGTCACAAAGAGTCAGACATGGCTGAAAAACAATTGAACAACCACAAAGATAGCTATTATATTCAAATTGTAACTTAGAGACATATACCCACTGAGATGTCAGAGGATGTCCAATGCAGATTCTAAACAGAAGTCTGCATTTTTTCAGTTGCATTTTTCTTCAAGTTCTATATGCAGATGCCACTGCACCAATTGAATGGATTACATTATAGAGCCCTATTAATGATATAAACAGTAATTCAAGACATAGGCCTGTCTATACTGGAAGAATAAAATGAGCGAATAAATGCATATTGCCTAGATTGTAACATCCAGATGAATAAGGGACCAAGAGAGTCCATTAGTTCTAGCTTTGTGTATGTATATCTTGGACAAGTACTGAGGTGGCCCAGAATATAATAGGAGGAAAGTGTATTTCCCATTTGGAAAAAATGGCATGGCACTTTCAGTGATTTTAAGCTATTCCCTGCCTGTATTTTTAGTAACAAAATTCTCCCAGCAATGCTATATGTCTGTGAATCATGGAATACCATGATCTCAGAAAAATCAGAACTGTGAGTCATCTGATGGGCAACAAAAAAGATGAATAGTAAATGTAAGTAGGCCCAAGTATATTTACCAGTGATAATTTTGGTATTGCAAGCCAAAGTAAGAGAATAAATCTTTAATGTCAATTATAATATTTACACCTTGATTCTATAATGATGAGAGACAGTTATTATTTAGAAAAATATTTTAAAAATCTACTTGACCAGAGAGTTTTCCCAGCTCTCTTGGATGTGAACATAGCAAGAAAATGCTTAGTGAGGGAAGCAGTTTGCTGGACTGGGACATAAAACTTCTGAGTTTTCTATATAGATTTTCCACTAATTATTTATATACCACTTCTCAGGGACATAGCTTTGTCACCTGTGACGTTTCTGCTACAGGGCTCAGAGGGGTATTGCTTATTAACCAAATCGAGAGTGTATAGTACCTAGAGTGCTGAAGAAAGCAGAGAAAGGGAGATATTTTTCTTTTTCTTGTTAGAATTCAGACAAGATTTGCATTGAAATTGTGTCCCTGGCCTTTGACCCCGAAGCTGAAGTGATGTCTGATGACAGCATCCAGCAGGTATATGTGGAGTACAAATTTCATGATCTGCCCTTGTCAGAGACAGAGACACCCGTATCCCTTCGGAAACCCAGGGCAGGGGAAGATATCCACTTTCATTTCAACAAAGGTAAAAACCAACCTTCCTGCTATTCAAACAGATTCCTTGTTGGTCAGGGGTCCTGTGGATTCAATGGGCAAAGAACACTGACAAAAGGTTCAGACTGAGAACCTTCTTCAACTTGTTCTGAGGGATTATTCTGGTCCTTTACAGGGTCTTAGACTTGGTGGTGGTGGTAGTGAGTTACCTGTGAAAGAATCTGTATTATCAGAGTACCATGACTACTGAGTGTCCCTTAGGCGTACTCTAGACTGGCTTATGTGGTAGGAGAAAATTCTGCTATTTGCCAGACTACATGGCTTCTACTAAGCTTTCCTAGGATTTCGTTAGGTCCCAGATCAGGGGTGGGGAACCTGCAGCCTCAAAGCCACCTGTGGCCCTCTAGGTCCTCAAGTGTGGCCCTTTGACTGAATCCAAACTTCACAAAACAAATTCCCTTAATAAAAGGATTTGTTCTGTAAAACTTGGACTCAGTCAAAAGTCTGCAGGTTCCCCACCCCTGTCCCAGACCTTTACTTGGACAGTTTGGGAGATGCATCTGACTTTTTGTTCTATGAGAAGCAAGGTGATAAAGTAGAAAGATCCCTGGACTTGTAGTCAGAACTGGGTTCTAATTCCACCTTAGGCACTTAATGCTGTGAGACCATGGGCAAGTCACTTGATTGCAGTTTCCTTCTGTAAAATGGAAATAGTAATGCTGGCACTACCTACCTCTCAGGGTGGTGATGGAGAAGTTCTTTGTAAAACTCAACATGCTAGATAAATGGGATCTGGATATTGTGACCAAAATGGGAGAAGACATCACTTATGTTTCCCTTTCTTTTGTATACAGTGATACACCTGAACCCAGTGGAACACAGAGACCGAAGGAAGTTTCTCTTTTCTATGTTGCAGGAAAAAAATCCTGAGCAAAGGCAGTAAGTACCTCCTATCAATTCTTGGGGAATGGAGCTATGCTGTAGTGGGTTCTCTGGCCTAAGGCCTATCCACTGCTTGGATACACAGGGTGTCCCTTTTCAAGTTCCTTTATTTTCTTTTGATTTACACGTTCCCTGAAATCTGAGTATCAAGAAATCAAATCTCAATTACTTGTGGCAACCTTAGTCAGATAGTATAGTTCACATCCTCACGTGTGCCCCAACCATTGGTAGTGCTGTTGCTTTTGTTGATGACTCAGTAGTTGAATACTGACGGTGTTGTACAAGCTAAACAAGAGACTATATATTGATCCCTTCAACTTTTACGTTCCAAGGCAGTTTGATCTGTCCAACATATAATAATGATAGCCCACAAATACTGGACCTGTTTTTACTATGAATTTCTATTTACATTTAATTTTTTTCTTTGTAGGTTTAAATTTTTTTAAAAAGCATTTGTAAACTTAATAATGATTAACAAAAAAACTCCCAAAAATATAAAACAAGAAGTAAAATCTCAAATGTGAAACACTTGAGTGTGACGTACATTCTTAAGCCACACATATGAACAGTTTTTCCATTAAGGAATGGTGGTTTAGAGCGGCTGCTGCAGACAACTGGATAAAAATTAGACTTGAGATTATTATTCTCAAAAAAAGGTGAAGGAGGCCATAATAACCTATGTGCTTGCTTTATCATCTCATAAAATGTTTATGAAAATGATCTATATATTTGCACATATCCCCGATGAAAATATAATTGAATTGGTATTTTCACAAATGATTTTATGCAAGACAGCACATATCTTCATGTCACAAAATTGCTTGAAAGGTGTAGGGAATACAACATTTTGCTGTCTGTTTTTATAAAAATAATTGATTCAGTGCGAAAGATAATCTTAAATGCTCTCTTCTAAAAAGTCATCTCCCTTGCATGTTATCTTGACAGTAATGATAGGTACTCTTTATATAGCACTTTAGGATAACACCTATTAGCAGTGTCAATAGTGATATAAAATGTGGTAGACAGATGCTTGAGAAGAGGTATTTACTCCTATCATGAAGGATAAATTTCAGAATCCAAATGGAAAATGGATCCTTTAGCGGTCCTCAAGAGGTAAGGTCCTCCAGATGCCCTTGGTTATAGATAATATTGTGCTGACTCCATCAAAGGCCTTTTTAATGATGTTTCTGTCACTTCCAAAAAAGATCAACATAACATTCGACACAGGAAAAAACAAATGAACAAAGCATGCCTACTATCCAGACTGACATTCCTTTGGAAAGTCTGCTCATTGAATTATTCTATTAGTGCATATATCTTGGGTTAGTTATTATAGGTAGACAAGAAATCTCACTTTGTTGAAGGAAAAAGTAGGATAGTTTTCATTTTGGAAACTGTGTAGTGCTTTCAACAGTCCTAAACTGAAACTTGAGATAATTTTTTTTTTTTTGGTGAGGCAATTAGGGGTTAAGTGACTTGCCCAGAGTCACACAGCTAGTGAGTGTTATAGGTCTTGTCTGAGGCCAGATTTGAACTCAGGTCCTTCTGACTCCAGGGCCGGTGCTCTATCCACTGTGCTACCTAGTTGTCCCTGAGATGAGATAAATCTTTTAACAATGGGTTAACTGAGGAAGGGAATTTGGGAGTCACTGTGAATTAAAGACGTGGCTTAGTGGGCTGCTATCTAAAAAGTCCAATAAAATATTGAACATTATCTTACCTTCATACCAAGTAATATTAATATTCTTCTAGTGATGTTAAATAGCTATGAATCATGGAAAACAAATCGCTGACGAATAAAAATTGCAAATGTGTAAGTATCCTTGGCTCTGTGGTAGTTTAGAGCTTGATGCAATAAAATACAATGTCATCTTGCAAACAGGAGCATCTGCAGGATCTTACCATCCACAGGGAACCTAGTTTTCATTTCTCCAAGAGGAAATAGAAGAGCACGACTGGGCCAAAGTAGGCGACAGAATACTGCCAATGGCTTATGAGCAAGAAGAATCTTAAAAGAGGTCCTCTAATAAAATGTGATTGGAAAAGGAAGTGGGTCATGTTATGGGAGAAAAAAGTAATGAACAGCTCAGTACATGTGGTATGTTAAAATGCCTGTAGGAAAGGTGTCAACATACTGGGTGAATTCCCTTAAGAGTCACACAGGATGGCTCAATGGGTATTTCTTGGTTGTGTTGTACATCACTGGGGTTAACATCCATATCTATAATAACTGCAAATCCATTGAAGCATGCCTCTCACTCCTCTTATTTTGGAATAGGTATAACCCACCTGTTTTTTGCTCTGACCACTATTGCTAGGGGATGCTTTGGTCTCTGGGCTACTCTTCAAAATGCTGCCATCAGTCACAGTCATTTGAAATTGAAGGCGAGGAATCCTGAGCTTCAAATGACTAGGGCTGCCCCCTTTGGAGGCTGGTGGTCCTGCTAGAGAATCTTTCAAGGTCGAGAAAAAAGGAGTAAGAAGCAAACAAATTAGTTAAATGGACAAAAATGGTCATTACCTTAGTTTTTTCCCCTTACCCACAGGCTTGTTCCAGTTCTTGTCAAAGTTTTTCTGATTTAAAAAACAATTTTTTTAAGCTGGAACTGCTGTTACCTACAGACATAGACTTTTACTAACGTTTGGAACCCAATGAAGCTTCAAATACATAGTTGTCTTTACCCAGCCATTGTTCGCAACTTCACAAGGTTGTGCATGCTTATACTCTTGCTTCTTTATCCTTTTTCCTCTACCCTGCTCAGTTTGAATAGCTTGTTCTTTGGCCTGTTCTGAAGTGTAAGTACTTTGTTTCCAGGGGGTGGTAGAGATGGGAAAGAGTGCTATGTAAACATGAGTTATTAAAATAACAAATCTTTCTCTTTCTACTACTGATATATTTATTTGGGTTTGATTCTGGCTCTGTCATTAACTAGTTTGTATAAAATCATTTAACCTCCCTGGGCAATTTGTTATTTTGCAAAATGATTTCCAAGGTCTCTTCCAGTGCTAAGAGTCTGATCTTGATTCCTATCCATTCTTTGATCTTATCTGAACTTCCCCTCAAGATTATATTTTGTGGGGTTTTCTAACCCTGAAAGACAATCCACTAATATACAATTTTAAAAACAAATGACTATCCTTATCCTTACAACTGTCCCTAAAGAGGTCACTGTGTCTATTTCTTCTGTTAATTGCGGGAGTGTGAGAAAAAAATGTTACATGCTTAGCGTATATGACAGGACAAAAAAATGTAAAGACTGTTAAAATGAATGCTGTTAAATGGAAATATTTTTCCTCTTTAGACTGAAATTTATAGTGGTGAGTGATCCTGAAGAGCAAAAGAATGAATGTCAAGAAGTAGGCTATGCTTACTTGGAACTGTGGCAGATACTGGATACAGGAAGAGACATTTTAGAACAAGAGATAGACAGTGAGTAAATTTACTTCCAAGGCATCTCATTAATAAACACTTCTTCATTTTTTGCCTTCACAATTATAACTGCAAAATTGATTGGATGCTACTAAACTTAGGATCTTTTTCTGTCGTCATTTAATTGCAGCTAACTCTAAAAATTGGCCTATTACTATCCTACATAGTCCAGGACTGAATTTTTAATAACATCAGAGCATTGTTATATGTCTTTTAAACTCTTTAATTGGAATTTTTAGAAAACCAAACTTCACTTTCGTAAATAAACAAGACTCTCCCTGGATTTGGATACATTCTGCAAAATGTTGATGGGCTTTAACTTTCAACATTGATTTTCTACCTTTTCCTTGATTATAGAAAAGTTTCTAAAGATATCCATTTTAGAAATAGGCCTTAAAAGAATTGTGGCTTCATTTATTCCTTCACAAGAGACAGCCAAGACCTTAACTAGCTTTGTCTTAAGTATTTCAAGGGACCATGGAGTGAAATGAGGACTAGACTTTAAAGTCAAGATAACTGTTTTTTTTAAGGACAATTGGGTTTGAATCCCAAGTCGCATATTTAGCAGTTGTGTCAATCAGGGTCAAATTTCTTAACCTCCTCTAAGTCTCAATTTTCTCACCTATAAAATGAGGATAAACACATGGAGTGCCTATCTTAGAGTTTAGTCATAAAGATTAAATGAGTTAATATATGTATATGTTTTCATTCTTAAAATATTACATAAATGTCAAACTATTATTTTCATTTGTCCTTGAGGAGACTGAGAGGCAGCAAAACTTAAGTGGAGTTGGGCTTCAATCCAGGAAGACCTGGTCTTGACTCTCACAGGCTGTTATCCTAGTCAAGTCACTTAACCTCTTAGTGCTCTAGTTGCAGAGTAGAAGGTACAGAAAAATGATGGAAGTGGAAGAGTTCCCTTGGAAACACCTGATAATGCTAAAGAAATCATAGGTCCAGATCCCTTGAGGTGATTTAGCTACCAATCATACTTATTGGCCCTTAGCTCCCAGGATAAGGTGAAGAAAATCTAACTCTGCTCTTTTCATGTTTTCTCTTTTGCAATAGTTATCAATCCTCAGGACAAAGCTACCTCCATTGGAAAACTGAAAGTGTCCCTTCAAGCAACTGATGCACTTCAGGCCATTTTCAAAGAGATGAGTGAAGACATACATTTATGATAAAGCAGATGCAAGCAGTCTCTTATTTAGAATTGAATATATCACAGGGTCATTTTGAGGGGACCACTGTAAAAGTCTGCTTACAAAGTGCTTTGCTATTCCACAGATTTATACCCCTATGTACTTAGTGACACCTAGTGTCTCCAACACAGTGAGGGAGAAAGCCTAGACTCATTGTTACCTTTGTCTGGTACCATCTGTTCAAGTATGGCTCCTGCAGTGAAAGGTCCTGGCACTTCATTAGGTGAGAAAGCAGACTTGAGATTTGCTTTTGACCTCTTTCAGGCTACTCTGGGAACTGTACAAAAGAACTGTCACAAGAGGTGAACTTACAAAAAAACACATTTTATTCATCTTTTAGTTCTTCCAAAGTTGAAAATATCAAGTCCTACTGCTAAGCAGAAAAAAAACAAAACAAAAAGCCTCTCTCTCTCCTAAAGTCACAGGACACAGAATGATCTGTTCTGGGACGAGTGAGCTCAGAGGACTAAGAGGGGAGATGGCAGGCAAAAACCCCTCCCAAATACTTAAAACAAACAAACAAACAAAAAAACCTGTTCAACAGAAATTGTGATAAATACAGGACAATGCAAGACAAGTAAAAATGAAGAACAGTGACCAGTGGCTGTGTTGTCTTTCTTTCCCCCCTTCCTTTCTTTCCCTGATAGGATCTCTGGGATACTGAACAGTAACTTTTCTCACCCAGAATAGTTGCTGCTTCAAAACAACCCCTCTAGATTTCATTAGGAATTGAATGTGAGTCACAACTATTCCTTCTTAGGTGAGAAGGTCATACAGAAAAGCAGTGTTATTTTCTCTTGCCCACGCTGTCGTTTATGAATTTGTGGGAAAAAGTGTGACAGTGAGGCAGGGAAACACTGCTTGTCTCATCTTTGGAGACAGCAGGAGGACCTTGCATGAGTCAAGAAGGTAGGGAGAATGACAATTACTGAAGTTGCTGCATGGAGCTTATTGATTATAACAGCCTTTAGCAACTGCTGATCACCCTCAAAAGAACCTTTTCTTGAGTACTGCAAGAACCGGGGAAAGGATTATGGCAAAAGGGTAGGACAGGAGGAGGGACTGAGCCTGCTGGTCAGGATCCAGGGTGCAGGCAATGCCCTATATACCACACTATAAAAAGGATACCACCTTTGAGCTGCCACAGAATCCATGTGGCTCAGAACCCAAGCCCCTTGGAAATGGGTTACATATGGGTATCATAATCAGAAGCCAACAAGGTCTTCCTGGCAGAGGACGACAGACAAAAAGAGAGGAAGGAAACTATATTAATAGCTGATGCCTCTGGCCTTCTTCAAGAATACCTCTTCCCTCGGCATCTGTGTGGGGCCATTGATTGGTGTACATTGTGGTCTCAGGACATGTAGGCTGGTGGGCCCTGGAATTCACTGAGGAGATTGGTCCATACAAAATGGCCCCAAAACCCATGAACACAAATGGCAAAAAGTTAAAGAAAACGAAGGGAAAAATACAGTTTCTATGTCATGTAAAATATTTAGGGGTTGGCTGGAGGAAGAAGGGATTATAAGGTGGAAAGTTCAAATCTACTTCCTCTTTTTCTTGGGTGGTGCAGAGCTGTGTCTGGAGCCACGGCTGGAGCTACGCCCTGCGCTGTGCACAGAACCCTTTCTTTTCCGGCTCATGCTCCGGCTTTGTTCCTCCTCCTCTTCGTAACGGCTCTCACGATCAGCTGGGAAGAAAGGGGAGGTGACTATCAGTAAACTTTGTATTACAGCCTCAGGTTCCTGATAAAACTACGCTGGTACCTCCACCCATTGCCAAGATAGAGCCAGTTCTTGCTTAGTATAAGGGGATCGTTCAGCAGGCTTCTCCCTTCCGTCACAGGGCTCCATGTGGCTCTGCCCTCTCCTGCTCTGGGCCCCCTGCAGTCTGGGTGGCTTTGGTACCTAGAGCAGAGGACCCCTGGTCCTGGGCTGCTGACTGCCACCCTCAAGCTGGGGAGCTGAATGTGCATTATGCAAATTTGCATAAAGTGAGAACTGTCTGTACTTCTTTTCAAACTCAGAAACCACCCCTGGGGAATTAGGTGAAAAAAGCATTAAGATAATCAAAGCACGATTTTGGTGCTTGACAGCATGCTTTAGGAAAATTTTCCTTAACTTTTACTTAGGTAGGGCTAGAAGTATAAATTCAGGTTTGGCTTCAGGGAAAGATTTTATGCAGAAAAGGTTCTGGTTACATAGGTCTCTAGCAGGTTGTCTGGTTCTTAATTAAATTGTACTGAGCCTCTGGATGTGCTTTACAACTGTCCGGGCCCCTTTAAGATTCACTTTAGATGTAGGATGACATAAAATCCCTATTTGATTATCTGGAACACAATCCTAGGCCATGTCACAGGCTTGGATGTGTAAGAAAAAGATCCAGCCAGGTACATTCTTATCTATAGAATATTTGTGGACAATTTCCAAACCTACATTTTCCTCTTCCTATGCTCATCAGAACTAGAGCACTGCGTCAGATCAATCTCTTAAGAGTGTTCACCTGACATATACTCAGCAGGTTACCCCACCAACATTACAAAGCTGCATGAGAAGCTTGCCCTCCCAACATCCTTGGTCAACTCACCTTTTCTTGCTTCTTCCTCCAGTTCATCCCAGTCTTTCCCACTTTCCTCTTCACTGCCCAGTGACTCCTTGGAATAGTCTGGAACAGAATAGATTCAGGTTTAGTCAGCTGTTTAGGAGATTCAGGGACCAGGGTGGATGTGGAAAGATAGGTTTCTTTTTCCCTAAGAAGTTACATCTAATCAAGTTGTATCTGGTGAAGATTTCAGTCCCAAGCAGAAAAGAGTGATAAGGAATGATGAATTAAAGATAACAGAAGCCCAAGACGTTAGGTAAGAAGGACAAAGGAAAAATTCTCATCCTCCTTATGGCCCCTGCCTCTGTTATTTTATGTGCTTTTCTGATTCCCCTTAACTATGACATTTTCTCTCAATCCTGAACACTTAATCACCTAAGTTTTCACACATCAGGGCCAGGAATGAAGTCCAGACTTGGGCTGGGAAAAGAAGTGGGATAAACAAAGGGAGGGGAAGTTAAAACTAGGATGGAGATAGTATGACAAAATTGGTGATAAAACAAGAGGTGGAGCTAAGGTGAGGTAAAAAACTAGTGGGCTCAGTATAAATATTATTACAAGGACAGGCAGTAGGGCTAGACTTGGAGTGGGCAAATGGACAAGAATGGGTTGGGAGTATGCCGAGAACTGGAGAATGAATGGGATGTAGATGCAGGGAAATGGGAATAGGAATAGAGAACAGAAGTCAGCTATATATTAGCAAATTAATGAGTAGTATAAGAGTGGGTAAAATTTTTTAGCAAGCACCTGCACAGGCCCTGTGACTTGAAGATCAGACATCTAAATCTCAAAGTAGTCAAACAGTGCTTCAGCATACATACCTCCAAGATGGAATTTGGATGGGAATGGATAAAATTATCTGAAATAACGAAGTATCAGACTACTGGACTGAATTGCCTTCTATTTATACTCACTGAAGCTGCTTTAGCCATGACAAATGATGACCCTAAAAATACATACCTGATTCCTCTGCTTCTGAGGAATAGTCTTCATCACTATCCTCCTCCTCTTCTTCATATTCATCCTCCGAAGGATTAAAAGTTTCATCTTCAATTTCAGACTCTGAGTCTCCTACCTCAGCATCACTCCCCTAATATAAGAATAGCAGAGACCATGATAAGAAGGCATTTCATGTTTTTAAAAGTTTCCACCAATAATTTAATGAATCCTTTCCAAACAATAGTTCTAGTTCTATTTCAAGTGAAGAAGCTGAGGTAAAGGTAAAGTCAATTCTCCAAGATCACCAAAGTTTGGACCAAGCTCATGGATTCATAGACTCTTAAAGCTAACAGGAATCTCAGAGATTATCTAATCCAACCTCCTCTTTTATTAACCGAGTCAAAGGTTGATAGGTATAGTGACCTTTCTATACTTGGGAAATTGAAAAGATATCCTCTTACTTCTCTATTTCTGAAAAGATCAGTTTCTTTTTCTTTCAGGTAAATGAAAAACTAAAACAGACTGTTCTTAAAAGGAGGCTGATTGTGGTGTGGAGGATGGTTTTTAAAAAACAGTTTCTTATGAGTGACTAATATTTTCTGAAGACCAAAGGCTAAAAAAACAAACAAACCCTCATTCAAAACATGCCTATCCTTGTGATTTGGAAAAAAAAAAAAACCAAACAAACCACAAAATAGTAGATACAATGGTAGTGCAGAAAGAACATGGGTCTGTTCTATGTGATACCTTAAACAGGTCAATTTCTCTAAGGCTTAGTTTCCCTGAAATGTAAAGTGGGGACAATACTTGTGACAATAAAATTAGGCAAATGTGTCTACAGCTATACAATTGTGCTATTATTTGATTTATGATTTACCTGTAAGGTGGATTAGAGGAGAGTGGTCCAAACTTGACATTGTTCTCCTGACTTCCTCCTCTCAAGTGGGTCTGGTCTTTTTTGCTCATATGTCAATCTCCATTCCCCCATCCATCCAAAAGGTACTGGGCAACCCTGTACACATCAGCCACTGACCTGTTCCTGAAACCCTAAGTTCACATACCTCACCTTCAGGCTCCAAGAAAGACCAGCCACCTTGTTCAAAAAAGCCCTCAGGATCATCCACAATAGTCTTCATGATTTTGGTCCAGTTGAGGGACTGCACTCCTTCAGTGTACTTCAGGTCACAGGAACTAAGGGAGTTATATAACATCAAAACCAGTACTGCATAAAATCCCTCAATATTACTAAATAGCACCATCTTACTTTAGTTACTAACATGACCAAATATACATAACATTTGTGTAAATATAACAAAACACTTATTCCCTGTATATGAATACTAAACTATGTCCAAGTGTCCCCAAAGTATGGCTTCACGTAGCAGTACCCTGCTAGGGTACTTAGTCCTCACTGTAAAGCTCTCCTATAATCCCTAGGATTTTTCTTTTTTAACTCTGTTTCTCTTTTATCTGTCCACATTCCTTTTTTTTTTCCAAATGAATTTTTATTAATAGCTTTTATTTTCACACCATTAAATACATGAAAGAATCTGAAAATTATATGTAACGCTCCACATCTACAGACCTTCTGCTATTTAAATTGTAGTCATTGTGTATATTGTTTTCTTGGCTCTGTTTACTTCATGCTCCATCAGTTAATATAAATCTTTCCATGCATCTCTGTATCTACCATATTTATTGTTTCTTACACCACAGTAATATTCTATTAAATTCATGCAGCATAATTTGTTTATCCATTTCCCAATCAATGGGCATTTGCTACATGTTTTTTGCTACTACAAAAGGTACAACTATAAAAACTTTCTTCTTGTCAATGACCTACTTGTATTATGTGGCTAGTAGTGGAATCTCTGCATTAAAAGACACAAGCATTTCAATCACTTTATTTGCTTAATTCCAAATTGCTTTCCAAAATGGTTGTACTGGATCCATAGCTCCACCAATAATACAGCAGCATATCTATCTTCCTACACCTTATCCCCCAAAATCAACCATTTCTATTTTTTGTCATCTTTGTTAGTTTGCTGTGTGTGAGGTGACACCTCAGGTTTGTTCTGATTTGCATTTCTCTTGTTATTAGTGATTTGAAGCATTTTCATATGGTTATTAATAGTCTGAATTTTTTCATTTGGGAATGATTTGCTCATAATCTTTGACCACTGATTTACTGGGGAATTAATTTCTACATTACTTCTAATGATTCTTTTCTTAACCAATGCTGCACTCACCTTCTTTTACCTTACTTTCTTTCTTCAACCCTATCTTCACTTTTCTTCTTCTTTCAGTCCTTTCCCACTTTCCCTTTTCCATTGCTATCTTGGAAAAAGCACTTTGTCTAAAAACACCTGGCCTCAATTACGGCCTGTTCAGTGGTCTCCGTGTTTTACACAGGTGATAATTCCAGGCAGTGTACTCTCTCCCAACTGTACTTTGTGGGCAAAGAAAGTCCAGGCATTACATCCAATGGACTTCTTTGGCTTCTGTGTCTCATTAAAAACATGTCATTCATAAGATAAGGTTATCCTTTTCTTTTTGTTAACTTCCCACAACACCTAGTAAAGTATTATTTCCTCTCTAAGTATTTTCCTAAATTGCTAAGGAAACTGTTTATAGGAGAAGTGATTCAATTATAGTGGGTGGGTGAGGAGGAATACAAGAGGGAAAAAAATAAAGAAATGAAAACAAAAGGGCTAGCATTAATAAGATTTTAACTTGAAAACTGCCCAAGAATATTATCAGCATTACCTATGCAGGGATAAAAGCAACCCATCAACAACCACGAAAAAACGTGCCAAACTACTAATAAGAGAAATGCAAATTAAAATGACTGAGGTTTCATCTTATGCACATCAGACTGGCAAAGATAATCAAAGAAGGAAAACATATGTTGAGGGCCTATGGAAAGAGAGACACATATTAATGAACTATTGTTGGCAACTAGTCCAATAAATAGTTTGCAATTATACTAGAAAAGCCACCAAACTATTTATCCTTTGATCCAGTGATATGACCATCATGCAAATACCTCAATGAGGTAAAAAGTTCCATGCATAAACAAATATGTGTATATATACATATATATGTTATGTAAACAAATATTTCTATAGACACTTTTTGTGATATATCTGTAGTGGAAAAGAACTGGAAAGAAAGTGGGTGAATGGGGAATGGCTGAACAAATTATGGTACAGAAATGTAATATAATATTGTGCCTCAAGAAAGAATAACACGAAGAATTCAGAGACACTTGGAAAGACTGGTAGCATACATTAAGTTTAACAATTTATACGATGACCACAAAATTATAACGGAAAGCAACACTAAAAAGTCTTCCGAACCCTAATCAATGCAGTTACTAGTCATGATTTTGGAAGACTAATGGTAGTGCCTTTCTTGCTCCTCAAGTAGAGACATAGTGGACTACAGGTACAGAACAAGGCATTAAAAAAAAAAAATGACTGATGCATTGATTTGTTTTGCTTAACTGTACTTTGTTACAAAGGAGAATTCCACTATCTGTAGTGGTGAGGGAGGTAATCTTTAGAAACTGACAGTTAAATAAGAATTATTCCCACTGTTTATTTCTTAGATTTCAAAGCCATTTCTCACAGACAAAATTATGTAACCACTTCCTTTAGAGAATTTAAAAAGCAAATTCCACTCCTATTACTACTCAAGGTCTTAAGGATGATTTTCCTTGGTTAGCTCAGGTGGTTCCACTAGAGAAGCTTTTCTCTAGCTGAAGTGTGGAAAATTTGTCATCAAAACAACATGCTTTTGTCTATCTAATCTTTCTTCAGCAAATTTACAGAACTAGTAAGAATTTGAAATGTTCTGAAGACACATTGTGCGAAATACTTAAAAATAATGAACTATATGTAGATACTGATTCACAAGGAACAATACTCTGGCCAAGCATTCGTTATAAAGGGGCTAGGCCCAAATTTTAAAGTTCTAATCTATAAACTCACCTCAAAGGCAAGCTGATCTCAGGTACATCAATAGTTTTTTATATACCAGCTGTATAATTCTTGATATCAATAATCTCAGAATTTTAAGTTCCATGGAATAAAGATCCCTAATGGGTTAACTTACTTCAACCACTCCTTGATAGGGTCAAGAGAGGCCACAGGGATGGCATTGATCATTGTCACCTTCTTACTGTAGTCCTTGTAGACTATTACCATATCAAAATTCTTCAGATGAAATTGGACTCGCTCAAAATGAATCAGCTCCACTTCATCCAATGTCACCACAAAAGGTGGCTGGGGGAGTAGAAATGGCCTATTACTTTTCTGAGTACATTTGGAAACCCATTAGCATTTCCCCATCCTTGCAGAATCCTATTTAATGTATCAAAGAGCTTGCTTATTCTACAATAGCTCAAACACACTAAAGTGTCTTAGTAGAATCAAAGACTTTTTGGGTGGGTGGGGACCTGAGAGAAGATCTTCCTTTCTTTTACAATTCAGGAAAATGAAGTTAACTGGCTTGTAAAAGAGCTCCACAGGGGCAGCTAGGCGGTGCAGTGGATAGAGTTCTGGCCTTGGAGTCAGGAGGACCTGGGTTCAAATCTGGCCTCAGACACTTGATACTAGCTGTGTGACCCTGGGCAAGTCACTTAACCCCAACTGCTTCAGCAAAAAAAAAAAACAACAAAACACATTAAATTGTACCCTCAGGTAGAAAAAATTCAGTAGAATTTATAGCACGGAAGTCAACTTTTTGGGAAGAAGTGACAAATATTAAAAAATTATAAGGTGAAGGGGAGCTGCTCTAATGTCTTGTGTACATTGAACTGATAATTAGCAAATTAACTGAAAATGTTGACAGAGAAGTTTGGAGTGAAAAAAGATCTAATTCTCAACACTTTCTAGTCAACTGAAAACTATTTCCTTCTCGATGCAAACATTAATAAAGAGATACTCACCCATTCTGTAGCATTCACCAGTGCACTACTAGTGGGCTGTAGCAGGCAGGTGCTTCTGTAAGGGGCTCCATTAAATCTGGAAAGAAGTGAGAAAATAAATTCACACTCTGTGCAGACCAAGATCAGAAGACCAAAGCCAGTAGGTGTTAATCCCATAATAGATATACTTTTCCTTCCCATTCCAAATTTCGAAACTCAAGTTCCATCATGCTCATTCGGGATTCTCATCTTCCAGTGCCAAAGATGCATTTCAATCTACGTTCTACCTACCTCCCCATTCCCTCACCTTTGCATGTGAAATGTCATATTCAAAGAAGTTTAAAGAATTACAGAACGCTGATATCTGAAAAGGATCGTAGAGCTACAACTTGTCCATTCCCCTCCTTTTACAAATGAGGAAACAGAGCTAGAGGTGAAGTAACTTGCCTAAGGTCCAAGCATAAGTAACAGAGCCAGTTCTTGAACCAAAGTTTTACAGTATCAGGATGAGAATGCATAATATATCATAGTGACATTAATGGAGGGGGTCTTCAATTTTTTCTTATTTCTATAGCTAGAAGTCAGGTCTGCAGGACACTAGGCTAATATGAAATATTTTACCCCAAGTCCCTAAAAGGCACTTCAAACTCCAGCTCCTCCTTGGTTAGGGCCTCAACCTTTTCAATGAAGTTTTTAAAGGCTGTTTTCAGCTTGTGCCTCATCTCTCTTTCCATCTGCAGAAAAAGAAAAATAATAACTAAAAACACCAATTTGATTTTTAAATATAATATTCTCTTCCAAAGTAATTATCATATGTATCTTTAACATCAGCTCTCGCTATTTATATCCTGGATATTTCTGGAGCTATGGGGGAAAATGAAGTGCTATGAAGTTGAACAGTTTGTTCAGTGTTACAATAGCAATGATGGAAAATACTGGAATCTGTGGACTAGTATTTTACCCATTGATTTATCAATAAAACAGCAGGTTATATAATACAAGGGACTGAGGGCTACACTTAAAAGCCAGGCCCAAATCCTGCCTTTGAAATTTTTTAGCTATGTAACCATGTATCTACCAGCCACTTAACATTTCTGAGCCCATCTCTTCACTTGTAAAATGGGAACAACAATACCTCACTCACAGAGCTGTTGTGAAGCTCAAATGTGACATATGTTAAACACACTGAAAACCGTCTTGTGTTCAATGTGCATGAGATTACAATTTTAGTACTGCCTCTTTGCTAGCCACTGAGCTCTACTTCAAATAGGCTCAGAATGTCATTAATGTATTACTCCAAGGCACTGGCAACCAAAGAGTTCAGATCTTATCCTATCTTCCCCTCAAATCAGATACAGAATTTTACTGGCCTGCTCAGCATACAGGTCATCTCGGTCATGCATATGCTGGTGTTTTCCCAAGTCAGTGGTGATTTCTCCCACTTCAGTGTAGAACTGCACATCGGTGTGCCGCTTTTTCCCAAACATGATGGCATTCTGGCAGCAAGAAACAGAAAACATAAAGTAGAAGTCAGAAAACTCAGGCTACACAACAGCAAAAAAAGACAATATACAGGGTTGGAAAAATAATTATCTCTATAATGGAAGTAGCACTGGTCCTATTAAAGCACTTCCACATCACACCTGTTAAGAGGATTAGATGACTGAAGACATTAGATGCAATTCATTTTTGTGAACAAAGAGCAATATTTTACCTATCTACTGGAATGGATTTCTAGAGGGGACCATAAACATATGTAAGAGTAATAGGTCTTGGGGGAGGTGGACACACTACGCAAAAGTTGAAGAGAGCGCAGAATTCAGATTTCACAGATAGAAAGAGGGGAAAAAAAGAGCCCTACTATATTCAGATACCAGAGAAATAAAGACCTGTCCAGACCCTTCTCCCGTCCCCCTCTCCCCAATGGCATACCTTGAGGTGAAAGTGCAGGACAATGATCATTTCCCCATCACATGGCTGGAACAAGGCATGCTTAATGTTATTATAGAGAATATCCACTTTGTCTCCTCGAACTGATGTGAAACGAAAACCTGGGTGGAATAAAGAAACTGAGTGCCTAATAACACTATCAAGTTAAGTAGAAGCCTGCAATGCTTCAGAAAAACTGGAATGGAAACAAACTGTTGATTTTTTTCCCTCTGTAGTATATTATAAATTACATAAACACTACAGAATTTCCCTTTCATTTTACTTCTCAGCTTTTATACCCCTGGCACTGATTCAGAAGAATACCTTACCATTAACATGAGCTTCAAGGGAGCCTTGCATTCTCTTTTGGGCAATGTTGGGTCGGATGTACAGATCCTTCAGCTTAGGATTACTCCGGTTAAGATTGATAACTAGTGAGTCTTGTTTCACAATACCCTGAAGAAATAGAATGAATGGGAATGCAATTACATTCCCAAATATCTCTATGAAGTAATCTGTGCGTCCTTTTTCTACGCGTATGTTCTGCCCCAGTCAAGCACCCCCAAGGCTCACCTCTTTTTCTTTTTCTTCTGCTTCCCGAGTCTTATAACGTTTTTGAACTTCTTTTATAATTCGAAAAGCATTTTGAAGATTTAAAGCTGGTACTGTCTGTTCTCCAGGTGCCTTCATATTTGAAGCTCGATACGTGCTTTGGTAGAAGGGAAAACAAATGTTACAGAAGGAATTGCTTATTGGGTTAATGAACCCTCCTATCACTATACTCAGGACCTATATGTTTAGTTTAATGTCAAGGGGAGAAAGAATTATATTGAAGAGAGGATGATGAGCAAGGTCATACTATATATTTCTTTTGCTCTTCAAAAGGGATGGATCTGTAAATGGTTAATCTAATCAAAAGGAAGATATGATTAACTTTTCCCCTTGAAGCCAAATAAATACTCCAAATTTATCCCATCATATCTCAGACAAGGAAAGAATCTATCTTGACAGCCACCAATTCATTTGGAGGAGGGATTTGGGATTTAACTTCTCTTTAGTAAGTAGTAAGAGTTTATAACCATACTGATTACATGTCTGCCTTTTCCCAGGAACACCATACAATGATCCTAAATGAATCTGGCAGAAGGAGACACAGTGAGTCTGCGAGAGAAAGAGGAACTCAGGATAGAGGGATCACACTTCAGCCAGTAGGAATTGTGGGATAAGTGGTATCCTGGGACTCACATTTCCTTGACAAATGTAGCCTCTGGATTAGGGAAAATGTTGCCTTCATTTCTGCCCAGAGCACTGCCTGGGCAATAAAAGTTGATTCGCAAGTAGGTGTAGTCTCCTTCCACAGACATACTGATATTCTAGTCAAAGAAAGGGAAGACAAAAACCATACAAAAAAGATTTCTTTTCCATCTAGACATTACTCTGCTTCTCCTTTCCCTGGCCAAATTTCTTGAAAAAGTTGCATATACTCACTCCAGCTACTTTCTCAATACCCTTGTAATCTGGCTTTTAGTTCAACCAGTTTAAAAAAATCTTTCACAGGTCACTAATAATCTTAAAATCCTGAAGTCCAATGATCTTTCTTTAATTTTCATCCTTCATTTCACTGCAGCATCCAATACTGTTAGTTACCTCCTCTTCTTCTGGCTCTTCTATTTTACTAAGGTACCATTTAAAAAAAATCTCTCATTGGTAATGTCCTTTCTCAGATTCTTAAAGTGTGTGTTCCTCAAGATTGTGGGCTCTGGTTCTTTTCTCTTCTCTCTACACAAGAGGAACTCTCCTTTGGGAATCTCATTTACTCCCTTGTTTTCAATGATTACTTTTATATAGACGAATCCCCAATCTTAGTCCTGACTGCTCTCCCTGAACTTTAAATTCACATTTCTCATTGCCCAGAGACCCATCTCCACCTATATGTCTTGCTGTTACCTTAAACTCTGTAATATATCAAAAGATTTGTGATTCTATCACTCAGACAACTTCTTCCAAACATGAGTTATGCATTGCACTCTCCTCCCTCAATGTATCATTAGCAAGAGCTGGTGATGAACTCTCTGAATTTAGCTAGGTTAATGGTCCCCAACACTCCCTGAAGCCTTTAAAGCTTACCAGATCTTATGTATTATTGGTGTAACATTTGAGAACCAAGGGCCGTTTTTCTTTTTTTTGGAGGCTGTCTCCCTATGTCACACTAGGCTACAAGTGCAGCAGTCACCCACAGCCCCACTTCCACTACTGATTGGCATGAGTGCCTTGACCTGTGCAGTTTCTGATGTGGACAGGTTTACCCATCTTTACAAGCTGGTGGCCCCAGATACCAGAAGGTCATCACACTGGTGGCCAGCTTTAGTGCAGAAATCTGTTTAGCCCACTGCAGCTAAGACTTACTGAGCTCAAGAGATCCACCAGCTGCAGCCTCCTTGATAGCCAGGATTACAGGCACTTGCTATCACGCCCAATTCATCTTCATGTTATAATAAAGAATTGGCTCTCCAAAACCCTATTCACCTGATGATTACTATTTCTGCCTGTGTCACCAACATCACCTACCTAGACTACTGCAGTAGTCTCCCAACATGTCTTCAGACTCTTAATCACTCTACCCTTCAACTGATCATTTACATCATCGCCAGACTAGTCTTCCTTAGGCATAGATCTGGTAATATCACTATGTTCTTTAAAGGTTTCCTCTGTCCCACAGAATTAAAGTTCAAATTGAACTTCATATATACAGTTCTTCACAACATAAGACTCTACATTTTTAGCCTTGTCATATTCTACTACTAAACTCTGAATCAATTCTGAAGGCAATGACCATATCTTAATTTCTCTCCCCAATCAGAAAAGCCTTTTTGGGTCACTCTACCTTAAGTAACATTTATCTCCAGCCCTCTTTGTCTCTAAGTGTAAAAGATCCAGTATTTATCATTGCATAGCTTATTGTATTAAGAGTGAATTAAACCCTCAATGTTTAACAAAAACACAGGTGAAACATCTTTTGCTGAAGTCCTAGGAAAAACCAGGCAGACATATCTGTTGCCAAATAGATTAATCTGAAACATTCATTTTTCTAGGAAGTGAAAATGGGGAGGAAAACAAAGAATAATAGGAGTAAAAAGTAGATAGTGAATAAATCCAGAAAAGTGCATTAAAGAAGGGTAGGGCTACAAAGGATAATGTGAAACAACATAGTTATAATGAGTAGAGACAATGGTCTATAAAGATTTTTAAATGAAACCTGGTCTAGTATTTTGTTTTAGTTAATTACCTTGATTGTGGCAATGTGGAAGGGTGTTGCAATGCCAAACACAGGCATTATTACAGTCTCATATTTCTTATCAATATAAATCTTCATTTCACGGATATGTGGTTCCTTAGGCATCAGAGAAGGGTTCTTGTAGGATACATTAGATTTTCGAGCTCTAGAATAGGAACAATAAAAGTGAACAACGAGAGACTTCAGAAGTCTTAGGGCTCAATCCCTCTACAGTCATCAACAACCCTTACTTCTGAATCTGCTGTTCTCCTTTCTGCTCTGTTAAACGCCTTTTGGCTTCCTCATTGAGTTGTGTGGCCAATTCCTTCTGATGCGCTCTCCTCTTCTCCTCTGCAGTCATCTCATTCTAAGGAAAGGAATAAACCTAAGTTATGAAAACATGTAAAACATCCATAGACAAAGATGTGAATAATTTATAAAGCAGGGGACCTACTCGTGTTCTCTCTGTGAGCAAAGCCGCTCTTGAACCTCGTCCCAAAAGGTCCTCAGCCTCATCTTTCTCTTCTTCCTCTTCTTCTTCATCCTCATTCTGTGGTAAAAAATAAATACATGCAAGAATTGAGTTTTCCCACATCAGAATGTTTTTAAACAAAATAGCTCCTAAACTTATATACCTTGTTCTTCTTCCTATGCCCTGCGCATCGAACATATGGTTTATGGGCAAATACAATCTGCTTGAGATTTTTATCAAAAATGTTTTATCTAATTATGTGAATAGCAAATCTGTAGCACTTAACCACTAGAAATGTCTAATTATATGGTCAAATACTTAGTAAGTAATGTTTGGATTTGCCTATCTCCACAAAACTGGTCAAACTGGAGTAGAGTGCCATTATCAATAATGTAACCCTGGAGTGAGAATTAAGTTATGACTTGATTCAATCAAATCTCACGGATCTTAAAGAGTTTTTGTCTTTTAAGTACCAATATTTTCATTGAATTGAACAAAACTGACCAGTATCATAACTATTCTTTAAATTTAAGAATAAAGTTTGTTAAATAGGTTACTCTGGGAGGAGAAAGGAGGGGACTGTTTTTTGTATTGCTATTTTTAAAAAAATTCCTATTTGTGAATAGACAATAGGTCACACACTCCACCTCTTATGAATAAAAAACTTGAAGTGGACCGCAAGCATATGGCTTCTTGATGTGATAATAGTACTGAAAAAATACGTATGACAATTTCCCTCTTCTTTCTCACCTTTAAGAAGATGCCCACATTCTTCACTTTCTTCTTGACAGAAGTAAGAACAACAGCTGGACCATCCTAGGACAAAGAGTAGGAGCTGGACATTGCCAGAGGTAATGACAACTTTTCTTCCTCAGACTTTGCACGGTAATACTTTGTACTGAGTGATGTCAATCAATATTTAAGGAATATTAGTTTTCATTTTCTAGATATGGATTACCAAGAATACAAGCTCATTAGGGCAGGAGTCATGTTTGTGTCTATGTATTCATAGTACCTAGTACACCACAGGTGCTTAATAAATGCTGGTGGAATTAATTATCGTAAGCAGTATGGCCCTAAAGCTAATCTATTCAATATTGATTCAATTCTTTGATCTAAGTTACAAACATTTTTCCTTGAATGCTGACCTAACAATTCTTTCTCAGACAATGATTATCATTCAGGTCACTAAAACAAGTTAATATAATGTGAAAAATGAGATAATTGTGTGAACCACACTAAGTCTATCCTGTGACTCAATTCTGGATCTAGCTCAGTTCCCTCACTTTCTATTCATTCAATGATAGGTCTAGTCCAATTTCTGTCTTGTGAGAAAACTATTTAATTATGGGAATTGTGAGAAAACTTTATTGCCTTGTTTGAACCTAGCCCTGTGTGGCTGGGAAGCTGGACCACCTCTACCTGTTGCTCAGAGACATTTAACTAAGGACCTAGGTCATGTTAACCAGAAGCCCAGTCAGATCCAAAGACTGATGCAAAGAGTTTTTTCACAATTATATATTTCAAGCAACCCATATGTCATACCTGAAAACTGGTCCCATACTGGTTAAGTTACTGTTTCCTTGTTCCTTTAACTGAATACAGACAGTTGGGGACAGGCAGAGGAGAATGGAACACCTCTTTTTCTGATTTCAAGGAATTGTACCTGTTAATTCTCTCCCTTGCAGCTTAGAAAGTCCCTAATCTTTCCTCCAATTAGAAATCAGATTACCTAACCTTGTATCCTGGTTTATATCTTGTTAACTGTTTTCTTTTAATGCATAAAAATATCTGTATTTGGGGTTCAGTACCAAGTTGAGGAGGTCAGGTCCTGACCTGTTATACAATTGCTATGCATTGTTTAATAAATCTAGAAGCCTGAACCACCTTTGTTTCTTCAGTTATTTCAGATTTCACCCATCACAAAGACCTAACTATGAAATTTACTTCTAAAGTTGCAGAATACCAGTGGCTTAAATGGTTAACACCTACCTCATCAACAAGAACTGTGTCACCAATGAAGAGGGCATAGGTTTTTTCTTCTGGTTTCTTTCCTTCCTTGTTAGTCAGATCTGAGAATCCCATATTGATGCTAAAAACCATTCCTAGAAGAGCAAAAATGGGGATAAATGAAGAACAAAAATTTTATTGAGAACAGGGGAGATGGGACAAAGGAAGACACGTTTAGAAAGAACCACCATCTTGCACTGCCTCACCTTTTTTCAACTTGTACTGATTTTTACTATTGATTACCAAGGATCCTTCACGAAATTCAATTCCCATTGCAAACCTATAAAAGAAGTCAAGTCAGAATTCTACACAAGCTGAATCTAAATATGGAATATTTGGCAAAATACAAAGGGCATGACTTAGCTCTCACAACTCTTCCATGATATGGGTACTAACAAAATATTATCCTTAGTTTTTCTACAGATAGGGAAGGAGTCACAAACATCATGTGATTTGTCCACACTGGTCAATCACTTATGAAGTGGGATTAGGGTTCATAGCCTTTAGGCTCTTCATATTTAGTCCAGTGATTGCAAAATATATATAAAAACCTAAATTAGGTACCTTTTCTACCCCTGTAATCAAGCCCTTCCCATTTTTGCTTCCCAGTGCCCATCTTTTCAAACATTTAAGTTTTACTACACTAGTCCAAAAATCAAAGCCAGGAACTCTTTCTGTTACACCCACATACACCCACACCCACACCCAATTTGGCTCTCAGAAACTGTTAGGGGTACGCTACTAGAATGGCCATGAAGGTAGGCTAAGCTCCACTTCACTCACCCATAACTAGGCCACACGATCCAGTTGTGACAAGCTGGTAACTGGATTTTCAAGCCCTGGCAGCCAACTGAGCCAGCACTTGGTACAGCCTGACACATTTCTTCTCATCTTTCAGAGGCCCAGGAAGAACAAGTATGTACCCTGGAATGGCTTTCATCTAAGAAGATTGCCTAGAATTTTTCAAAAGTAGAACTTAACTGAATATTTTCTACAGGGTACTGCTTAGAATACAGTGTGAAGGGCCCCCTGAAATTATTTCTGCTAGTCATAAATTGACCTAGAAGGATGATTCTATTAGTTACTGCCCACAGAAGAGCTTTAATTCAAAATTATATTTGTGTCTTAGAGAATCCCTTACCCAAGATTTTTGGTGATTTTGTTGAGCAGGTCTGGTTTTTGTTTCTTGACCATATCCATGACAGCATTGTATACTTCACATAGCTTCATACCTATAGTCAGAGTGAGTGTGAGGAGGGAAGTCTAAGAATGAGTCTTTCAAAAATTTCAAAAATTCAAAAATTCAAAAATTCAAAAATAAAAAAGTTACAATTAAAAAACAGTTCCGTACCCAACAAACATCAAATAAATTGAGTATTTCCATATATAAAGCATAAAAGAGAAAGAGGATTGTACACGAAACTAGAAATCTCTTCCGTTTATGTATATAATAACTTCAGTGTGGAACTTTCAAAGCTGTCCTAACCACGTTTCCATCTGACTTCAAAAATTAACTTTCAAAAAAGTATAAAACCTCACACAGCAAATTTTGTTTTATCTACTTTTCAACCTCTAAGAGGAAGACCAAATTTGAGTTGGGCTAGTGGGAGCTGGAAAATAGCATACTAAACCATAAAGTCTGAAATATTTCAAAGTAATATTTTTACAACCAGGACAACAGAGCCTCCCCTTTTCCTACCTTATCTAGGTTGTGAATGAACATTTCAAATCTGAATGTTCTCTAGTCAGCTTAATGAAATGATGAACCAAGACATAGTTTAAGCTATGATCATGGTCTTTACTGGCAGACCGCTAGGTGGTACAGTGCTATCCACTGCCAGGCCTGGAATTAGGAAGTTTAAATCTAGTTCCAGAAACTTACTATCTGTGTGACCCTGGGTTAATCACTTAACCCTGTTTGTTCAGTTTGCTCATCTATAAAATGAGCCGGAGAAAGAAATGGTGTATTACTCCAGTACCTTTGCCAAGAAAACCCCAATTGGGGTAATAGAGAGTCAGACATGACTAAAGAACAATAACAAGGTCTTTGCTAAGGTTTTCTCAAAGTCCATCTTAGAAGAGTGAAGTCAGGAGGCTTTTGTAATAACAGGTGAACAAAAAACTAGAGCAGGTGGATAATCGCAGGTCTAGTCATCAAGTAGCTACTTTCTGAATTATAATAGCATCCAGGTCAGTCTTAGATCCATTCTGATTTGTTTCAAAAATGAACAGGAGAATTTAGACTCTCTCCTATAAATGCTCCATTTCTCTCTATGTACAAATCCTTCCAATATCGTAGCTTCCCGAATTTCCATTAGAATAATGTGAAACAAAGAGAAAAGTAGTATTTACAGGATAGATTTAAAATTTCAGGTCAGCAGAAAACCAGTTAAGGGAAAAAGAAAATGGTTTTCTGGGAACGAAACATTTAATTTTGAGGAAATTAGAAGATAGGAATTAATGTGAGATATATATCAAAATGTGCTATTCCTAAAAATACGAAAAAATCTTCTAATTATTCACAAAATAGATTTACAAGTATTTTAAATGTGCTCCCCCCTCTCCCAAAAATTAAAACCAGAAACCAGTCTGTATAGCAGACTTAAGGATATGCAGAAAAGACACAGCCCATGTTTTTGTACATTTATTCTTAACCTATCTTTTGCAGAAACCTTACCATGTCTCAGTTCCTTCAGCAGCTCTTCCTGTAGCTGGAGCAGAAAGTTGTAATTCTCCTGGACTTCCTGGGGAGGATCTACCATCAGGGTTCGTACGAGATTGGAGCAGTAGGATTTGAAGCGAATACCCATGGCACAGGTGATGGCCCCAAAATGCATGTGGTTCTTGTCACTTGAGACCCAAGATAGAAAACCATGATACTATTAATGCCAGCAAAGTATTTGGTACCCATAGTATGTAATACATGAGGTCATTATATTTCTTGGTTCTTGCTCAAAGTGGAATGGTGGCCTAAAGTACAGGGTAAAAACCAACTGTGAAACTGCTGGTGTAATTTACAATGCTCTAGGGAAGCTGGAGATATACTGACTGGAATATATTTGCTGAATGCAGCAATATGGGGATAAGAAGCTACTTATACTGTAGTTCATTGTGAAATGAAAGGACTGTAATTCCCTCAGAAGGGGGGAATTAGCTCATGGCTGCAGTTATGTGGGTACTGATGAGTCTAAGGCTGCTAGTGGCAGTGTTTGAAAAGACAGCTGCTTACCTAACTACACTGAACTTGAGATTATAGTTGCCACCACTCTGGATGATGGGAGGATAACACATCTCTACTGTGGAAGGGTCCGCTCCAGCCAGGTACTTCTTTTCTTCAATGGCCTTCTCCACAGACTCAGCTAATTTGCTGTGACGAACTTTCTATGAATATATCCAGGAAGGAGGCAACAATTATAGGGGTATCCTTCTTATTTGATCCTTTATTACGTGGGGGCAATATGGTACCTAATGGCATACAAATCTCAAAAAATAATATAGCAGTCTTGTAACATGTCATGGGCTTAAATCTTGGGAAGGTTTTTTTTTTTTTTTAAAAAAACACACTCAAGAAAAAAAGAAAATACAATTTAAGTATCTAGAATTAAGATATATTTAAAAAAAGGCTCAATAATAGATATTTTCTCATTTATGATTTCTACTTGCAATTGTTCTTGAAAGAGTCACATCACTATCAAATGACCAAAGTTATATTTTAAGAAATTTTACTATTCAAAACAAATGTATGACCACCCTTCTACTCCTAGAGTTACATGATTTTAGTGAATTTCACTTTGTTCTACAGCAGTAGGGAACCTCTAAGCAGTATCAATAGACAAAATAAAATCATTTTAAGACTGATCTGGTAGGAGAAAGAATTGGTGGGGGGAAGCACTTCTCTTTTCTTAGAAAATTATAGCAAAATATCCTCTTTGACTATTTAAGATTTACTAGTCATTTGCTTTATTTCATTTTGTTTTGTTTTTGCAAGTCAATTGGGGTTAAGTGACATGCCCAGGGTCACAGAGCTAGTAAGTATCAAGTGGCTGAGGCCAGATTTGAACTCAGGTCCTCCTGACTCCAGGGCTGGTGCTCTATTTACTTTGCCACCTAGCTGCACCCCATTTACTTAAAAAAATAAAATAAAATTGAGGTGGTGTCTCTCCTGCAGTTACCTCATCTGCATCAACAATTTCCATGACTCTTTCCTTGAAAAATTTGTTGAAGACTTCAGAGGTGATATTAGCTGCTTTCTTCATCAGAGTAAGTTCTCCATCCTCTTTTACAGCTATGGTATATGCCACAACTGCACTGATATCCATCTGTGGATAAAGGAATATGTAACCTGAAATAAGAGAACTATTAATGAGATACAACTAGATAATAAAATCTGTGAGGATAGGGACTGTGTTTTGATCTTACATCTAGAACTGGAAAGAGCCTTAAAAGCACAGAACCTAGCATAGCTCCTTTTACACATTAAATGTTCAAATATTTGTTTAAAGAATCTAACCTAGGTATTAGTAGTAACAAGAAAAAAATCATTAACTCTCTTGAGTAACCAGTTGTTACAAATACTGTTTCCTCTGACTGGACAAACTTCCAAAAAATGGTCAGAAAAAAATCATTTTACTAAATCATACCAGGGAAATATAAAGAAATGGCCTATAAAACATATATAGACTCTCTATATTAAAAAAAAAGTTGAGGAATAGAGAAAACAAATTACCTAAAGTTAAGTAAGCCTTAGGAAGACTGTCTTGATTTATTGGTCAAAAGGATTTTCTGGTATTTTGAGGTCCTTGAATATTAATCTTATCCTGACCAAAAAGTGCAAGTATATCACTTCCTGGAAACTATAAAATATGAAGTACAGTACTCTACTCCTTGAGAATGAATTTACTTCTCTTAAACTACTATGGGACTATCCTCATATTTTCAGCCTTCTTAACCCCACCATTTCTGGTTCCTTCATCAATTCTCTTACTTTTTCAAAGCCCTCTCTGTTAAGGCAGTCATTCCAACTCTTCATGAACTCTCCAGGGAATTTGTCTTTGCTGAATACCCCGATCTTCTTGCCACTCTTGCTCTCTTTAATGGCTTCAATCATTTTGTCGAAGTTGCCCTTGTTACTCTCATTCTAGCAAAAACAAAAGGAAGGTGATGTTTATTATTAATATGTAAGAATTAGACCACTCTAACAGTTCTTAGATATAATGAATGCAGCATTTAGCTAAACCACAAAGCCAAACTTGGACTCGGCATTAGTTTCTCTACAGTAGGCTTGATTTACCTAAACTGAAAGGGAAAGGGAAATAACGGCTCCCATTCCTTGATGACAGTTATGACTAAGCTGGTTTATCACTAAGCATAAATGAATAATAGCTCAAGAAAGAAAATGATTAAGGGTAGGAAGGCATCAAAAAGACCTCAAATGTAAACAACAACAAAATAGATTTAGAAGTATTGGGAATACCATGGTTATGATTTAGTTAACCAGAAAGATATATGGTAACTAACATTAAACATAGATTAAAACAAACCAAAAAACCCCTACCCAGTTTCCACGGAGAATAAGTACATAATGCTAGTGGATTTAGGAGTTTAAAAGTCCAAGAAAAGAACTTTAATGATGCCCTTCTTTTCTCCCAAATATTCATCAAAGTCTGAATTTAATGCCACATCCTAACACTCTCTCTTTGAATTCCTTCAAAATCCTTATAGGGTTTTTTTTGTGGTTGGCATTACTGTCACTATGTTAAATATCTAAGTGTATGCAACAAATTCTTTTAATTTCTTACTTTTTCTCGAACCAGCAGTGTAATGGCAGGAGCACCATTTGCATTTTCATTACCCTTGGTGTTGGCAATTTGTTTCAAGAACTCTACTTTTTTCTTGCTGGCCATAAAGAGGATCTTGTCATCACAGAACACCATAATGGTATCAGTTAGCTCATAACCAAAGAGCCATGTCTATGGCAAAAGAGAAGAGAAGTTAAGATACTCATAGGCAGAAATGGAAAATTTAATCAATAAAAATGTTAATTGTATCTTACTATGATTAGGATGGTTCTCTCATGGGATATTTGCCTATTCCTACCCTTGGCTAAAAGAGTCAAAAGCAACACCCAAGACCAGGTTTGATGATATTTTTATCTTTCCCTTCCTCTCTCCCCATACTTTCTTATGTTTTCCCCCTTCCATCCTAAATTTTAGTTCTGCCAGTGGTACTTAGGGCTACAAACTCTGTTAATCCTGCCTTTGATGGCTCCACCTAGTTACCTGAAGGGCAGTAGATTTGGCATAAACAATCTCTTCATCAACACCTACTGAAACAACAATGGCATCAACGTTGGCATACTCATCCTCTCCTTTCTGAAACACAAAGAGCAGAGTATTTGGTCACTTCAGTTTTTTTCAACTGCATATTGCCAAAAGAAGAATACAAACTGAGGTATTTATCCACACCAAGGACGTGAAGCAATCCCTCCCCACCCCACCCCCCGCCCTTCCCCCATTTTGGGCATCTATTCAGCTCCTGTTACAAACATAGCTCTTGGGTAACGTCTTGAAATAAGGGGAAGACCCAGTGATTTCAGAGCTATTAAGACCCCCTTCCCTTATCTCTGTGTCCATTCTATAGAAGAGAAAAAAAAAACCACCATCTTGACCAACAGCTGTCTCAGATCCTATTTCCCCAATTCCACTCTACTTTATTCTGAAGCCCCTAGCTGCCAAAGTGGTTAGAGAATAAGGTGGCAAACAAATCAAGCACTGAATGAGAAACTGAGCTGAATGGCATAAAGTTCTATAGTACTTCTTGGCTTATGACAAAAGTAGCACCTAAAATAGAAAGTAGTTAACAAAATTTTAATGGGATAATTTTTTCTTTTTTTTTAAATGAAATAAACCCTTGTCTCACTCCTCTGCTCTGTTTAATTCACTCCACCCCCACTTCAAAACACAACTAAAATGGAGGGAAAGATTCTTGTGATACACTGCATTACTTCAAATCTCCCACTTACCTGTTTTGCTTTGGTCCCACATTTCTCAGATTGACCAGTAAGTCTCCTTACTCCTGCTTCATAGAATCCATCACTTCCTCAAGTTACAGCCTCAACACTACCTTCAACCTGAAGTCTTTTCTGATTCCTCCAACTGCAAATCTACTTTGTATTTATTCTATATATGCGTACTTGTTAGCTCCTTGAGTAGGGATTGCTTCATTCTTTGCATCCCTGGTACCTAGCACAGTGCTTAGCAAATAGGAGGCAGAAAAATCTTGAAAGATTTTCATAAATATTGTACTATACTTAATACTTGTATATTTTATATTATCCAGTATCTTTGTGGATAATAAAATGTTTTCACTTACTGCTTACAACACTAAGACAGCTAATTACTGAGTTCTTTTGAGAAACTTCTTTTGGAATTTGGAGACAGCTAAAAAACGAAGTCAAATACACCAGGTAAGGATTTATTCTCTTTAATTTCAAGATAAATGACAACTTAAAAAAGCCACAGGAGTACAATTAAGTCCATCTATTTTATTTTATATTTTTCTTTTTGTTTTTTCCCTTTATTTTTAAAAAAATTATTAATTTTAGTTTTCAACATTCACTTTTACAAGATTTGAGTTCCAAATTTTCTCCTCATCTTGTCCCTTCCCCCACCCCAAGATGGCATGCATTCTGAATTCTTCCCCTAATCTGCCCTTCCTTCTATTTCTCTCCCCTTCTCTTATCCCCTTCCATTTCCTGTAGATCCAATTTCCCAGTTGCATGTGAAAACGATTTTTTTTTAACATTTGTTTTTAAAACTTTGGGTTCCAATTTTTCTCCCTCCCCACCCACCCTCATTGAGAAGGCAAGCAACTCCATATAGGTTATACATGTATAGTCATGCAAAACACTTCCATAGTAGTCATGTTGTGAAAAACTAAGTATATTTTCCTTCATCCTATCCCGCCCCCCATTTATTCAATTCTCTCTTTTGACCTGTCCCTCCTTAGAATTGCTTGCTTCTGATTATCCCCTCACCCAATCTGCCCTCCCCTCTATCATCCCCCTGCTCTCTTGTCCCATTCCTCCCCTATTTTCCTGTAGGGTAAGACAGATTTCCATACCCAACTGAATGTGTATGTTATTCCCTCCTCATGTCAAATCTGATGAGAATAAGATTGACTCATTCCCTCTCACCTTCCCGTTTCCCCTCCACTGTAAAAGCCTTTTCTTGTCTGTTTTAAGTGAGATAATTTACCCCATTCTATCTCTCCCTTTCTCCTTCTCCCAGTATAATCCTCTCACCCCTTAATTTTATTCTCCAGATATCACCCCTTCATCTTCAACTCACTCTGTGCCATCTATCTATCCATATAATTTTCTCCCTCCAACTACCCTAAGACTAACAAAGGTCTCATGAGTAACAAATATCATCTTTCCATGCAGTAAACAGTTCAACCTTAATAAGTCTCTTATGATTTCTCTTTCCCGTTTACCTCTTCATGTTTCTCTTAAGTCTTGTACCTGAAAGCGAAATTTTCTATTCAGGTCTGGTCTTTTCAGCAAGAATGCTTGGAAGTCCTCTATTTCAATGAATGTCCATTTTCCCCCTGAAGGATTAAGCTCAGTTTTGCTGGGTAGGTGATTCTTGGTTGTAATCCTATCTCCTTTGACCTCTGGAATATTATATTACAAGCCCTCCAGTCCCTTAGCGTAGAAGCTGCTAAATCTTGTGTTATCCTGATTGTGTTTCCACAATACTTGAATTGTTTCTTTCTGGCTGCTTGCAATATTTTCTCCTTGATCTGGGAACTCTGGAATTTGGCTACAATACTCCTAGGAGTTTTCCTTTGGGGATCTCTTTCAGGAGGAGATTGGTGGATTCTTTCAATTTCTATTTTGCCCTCTAGTTCTAAAATATCAGGGCAGTTTTCCTTGATTATTTCTTGAAAGGTGATGTTTAGGCTCGTTTTTTGATCATGGCTTTCAGATAGTCCAATAATTTTTAAATGATCTCTCCTGGATCTATTTTCCAGATCAGTTGTTTTTCCAATGAGATTTTTTACATTGTTTTCTATTTTTTCATTCTTTTGGTTTTGTTTTACAGTGTCTTGATTTCTCATAAAGTCACTAGCTTCCAATTGCTCCATTCTAATTTTTAAGGAAGTATTTTCTTCAGTAAGCTTTCAGACTTCCTTTTCCATTTGGCCAATTTTGCTTTTTAAAGCATTCTTCTCCTCATTGGTATTTTGGACCTCTTTTGCCATTTGGGTTAGGCTCTTTTTTAAGGTATTATTTTCTTCAGTATTTTTTTGGGTCTCCTTTAGCAAGCTGTTGAACTGTTTTTCATGATTTTCTTACATCACTCTCATTTTTCTTACCAGTTTTTCCTCTACTTCTCTTACTTGCTTCTCAAAATTCTTTTTGAGCTCTTCCATGGCTGTGGATCAATTCATATTTTTCTTGGAGGCTTTGGATGTAGGAGCTTTGACTTTGTTGTCTTCTTCTAGTTGCATGTTTCGAACTTCTTTGTCACCAAAGAAAGATGCCATGGTCTGACTTTTTTTGGTGAAGTTTGCTCATGCGCTGCTTGCTCAAGATCCCAGCCAATTACCTGAGTTATTGTTAAGGTAGTGATCTGCTTCCAGTGTGGAGAATGTACTGTACCAAGCTTTGGGGGTTTTGTGCAGCTGCTTTCAGAGATACTTCTAGGGACGTGTAAATTTTCAGTTCTTCCAAGGTGGTATGATCACGAGCAAGATGTTTACTCCTTTTCTGACCTGTGCTCTGGTCTATGAGTGACCACAGGCACTCTTCTGCCTGGGAACTGTGAGGAGGATTTCCTCTCCACCACCATTACAAGCTCCACCATGCCAGCACTCCTCCTCGCCCCAGGACCAACACCCAGAACTGTGACCCAGATCCAAGCATGGGAAAAGCAAGACAATAGTGCACCAGCAAAGAGATCCCTGTAATCCCCCTCTGATTAGCCACTTGATTCCCCCTCATTCTGTGGGCAGGAAGCTCCTGTTGTTCAGAGGCCGCGAGCAGAGACTAGGGCTGGGATGCAGCTTTTCTCTCACCGTGGTCACACACTTTTTCTACTGACCTTCTAAGTTGTCGTTGAAGTTTGTGGTTTGAGAAGTCTGGAAACTGCTATAGCTGGCCATGATTCAGTCCTCTGAGGGCTGCTCCGGGTTCCCTGAGGCCTGTTTTGCCCACTTGCCCACACTGAACTGCGTTCCTCTCCCCGTCCTGTGTGATATACGTTTCCAATTAACCATCCAGGTTGTCTTGGGCTGGAAATTTGTTTCATTCTCTCTTTTTGTGGGTTCTGCTGCTTTAGAATTTGTTTAGAGCCATTTTTTTAAAAACAGGTATTTGGAGGGGTTTGGGGGAGAGCTCGAGCAAGTCACTGCTTTTACTCCGCCATCTTGGCTCCACCCAAGTCCATCTATTTTAAATGATACTGGAAAATTATTTGGGACTTCAACAGATGAAAAGGAAGTAAATACTTATAAAATTTGGGACAGTGTGGGGAATGGAAAGAAACCTCAGCGAATTGTTTATATCTGTATAAATTACCTGTTTCTCATAAAGTTTCCATGGATCACAGAATATGCTATAATCCCCACTGAGAAAACTCTTAACTGTTGTCTGATCCTTTCAAATGATTATCTTTGAATGTTTCTACAGAAGATACTGGAACAAAATTCTAGAAGGAATTCAGGCTCAGAAGAAAACTCATGTGACCTAATGATATTCAAGAGTATTAGGTAAATTTCTTTGTGATACATTGTCAACCAAAAGAAAGAGTGTAACACTTGATCATATCCTTGACTAAGAATATTACTATTTTGTAATTTAGACTTTACAAAAGGATGGGATATCTCCAGTTATATCAATGTCCTTTGTTTTCACATTAGTCATTTCTAGAACTATTCTTCCTTCACGACCTTCCTCCCCAATGGAAACTTCCCTTCTAACAAAGAGAAACAGTTAGGCAAAAATATCTGACAGTGACTAGAACTGATAATGAAAACACCATTCCACCCTAGTAGGTCCTAGCCTATGCCCAGAGAAGAGACATATTTTTCATTATCTGTTCACTGGGATCAGTACTAGCTTTTAAATTATTAGAGTATGACTTCCTTTTAGTCATCTTTTTATTTATATTGCAACAAAAAAGGATACTGAATGATAATCAGTTTAAGTACATATTATGTGCAATGCACCGTCCTAGGTACTAGGAATAGAAAGACACCCCCTCCATCCCCCCACAAAAGAGGCTACTGCCTGCAAAGATCTTCCAAAGAGTTTTTCATACATGTATAAGCTGAATTAAAGAGTATTTTAACACAAGTAACATATAAAAATATCCATATAACATGTAAGAATAATGTAAACTCCTTGAAGAGAGTGATTGTTTTATCACCTGTAGCATTCTTTTTGTCTTTAGTGCCCTGCACATGGCAGGTACTTAATAAATGCTCAGGGGATTGAATCTAATTATATTCAAACCAAATATTTAGGTCTCGATGTAACTAAAATACATATAAGTACTTAACAGCATTTCTTGCAGGTTATATTTCTGGAAAATAAATTACATGAATTAAATTTTATTTTCCCAAAGAGATGTGTGTGACAAGGGTTTATATTCTTGATTAAAGGCCTCATATCCAACTTAAAAACAACAGAAATGACTATAATCATTGCATTTAATCATCTAATATAAATTATATTACTTGCATTCTCTATAAAGTTTTCTGATATATGTTCATGTATATAAAATTAAATGGGGTAACATAATAACCAAATAAATAATACTTTATGATAAGGATCATTATGTAACCATCTTCTAACATCTTTAGAGTTCCTGTCTTATTTTTACTGAACCAATCAGAATGGGTAACACCTTCATCAGGACCGAGGAAATCATAAATTTCATTGGGGGAATTCTGATAAGCATCTTTGAGATTTCCAGAGAAATTTAGGATCACTTCATGACCTTTTGAAAAACTGATTGATCTAGGATAGTCAGTCAAGGTGTCTATATTGGATATTTTGTTTAATTGTTTCTCTCTTGCACAAAAGGTTAATTTTGGAGGGAGGTGGAAAGTAACTGGGATATAAAGACAGAAGGCACTAAGACATTGTTTTAAAAAAAATTGATCTAGGTGTGGTTTGTAACCCTTTTTTTTCCAAGACTGTGGCTTCTTGCCATGTACCCTACAACAGCACTATGTTTTATCACCCTCTATTACAATGTAAGCTCTTTGAGGGCAAGGACTGTCTTGCTTTTATGTTTATGCACTATGTTCGGCACATATTAATAACTTAAATGTGTTTACATTCTTATTAATGTAAATTTCTCTGTCCTTCAGTAAATCCGACTTTCATACCTTATTGTGGTATGGTTTTTGAAGACTATAGCAAAGTATAAGCTCTGGCAGATCCTACCAAGCTGGAAATGCTAATCTGTGCGGTTAGAGACAAAATATTATGTCTGTGGCCTGAATGTCAGGATAACTAAACTAACCAAGGCACATCACCAAAAGGGTGGCCATCTGGTGATAAACATTTTCAGCTCTAATAACTTTGTCTTTTTCTAAGAAAAGGGCTGCAGTGGTAATTTACAACGTATATTAGTGAAGAAAGTATCCAACTGATGAAATCATAAATAAGTATTGAAGTAGGAAATTTCCCTGCAGCAAGTACAGGCATAAAGAGATCTCATTGGTCTTTCTGCTGTCTTTGAGATTGGAATATATATTCTCAAAATTGGCCAGGCAATGTGATAGCTTATATAGTGCTGCCTTAAGGTATAGAGAAACTGACACAAGAAGTCAAGTGATATGCTGTAGGATAGTTAGTCCCAAATAGGCACAGTGGAGCAGTTTATTTTATATTTATAAAAGTTGTTCAGGGAAGAGTAGATAAAATGTATTTCCTATCTTTTTTTTTTCTTTTTCAGGTGGAGCTATAGGTGTAGAAATGTTGCATATACTGTCAGAGTTGATGTGTTGGGTTTTTTTGGGAACTTTTTTTCCTCTTTCCTTAAAAATAAATAAATAAACAAACAAATAAAGATTGGGTCTCCCCATCCTGTCTCAACAGATCAAGGGCTACTCAGGGGCCTGATTCCACTACTCATTGGGGCAAGGTAACTTTTGACCTGTTCTGCTCCAACATGGGCTAGTTTACCCCACTTCAAGCAACCCTTTGGCTCCTTGGGGTTTACCCTACTAATACGAGACTTAGTGTGGACACCTTGATAGTGACTTCATCCACCGCAATTCAGAACTACTCAAGAGATCTGCCAACGGCGGCATCCTTGGTAGAAGGATTGTAGGTATGTACCACTATACTCATCTCTCCTTTCTTAACCCCCTTGCCCCTCAAAAAACAAAAAAACAAAAAAATCCAAAAAACCCCAAAAACCTTTGGTACAAGGGATAGAGAAGGAATATATTTGAGATGAAGGTGATATACGAATAAAAGATATCAGTAAAAATAAGACTTTTAAAGTTGCTTTGGTCCCCCACTGGGGCCCCAAGTAGAAGAAACACTGGAAAAAGTCACTAAGACCAGTCACACAATCATTCCAATTAATTGTTAGTCACTGAGACCTCTCTGAAGACTTTAGAGACTGTTTAGAAGCTCAAGGTCTGGAGCTTGTACAAGAACTTCAAACTGCTGTCCCTACCCATCTTAACTCCTTAAAAAACAATAGGGTAAAGGGAAAAAATTCAAAAATCAGCTTCTCTAAATAAGTGTGACATCCTATCCTTTACAATTCACTTCAAACACTACCACTTACTCCAGGAAGAATTCCATTTTTTCTTCAGTTGGTAGCAACTTTCTCCCTCAGACCTTACAGAAGATTTTGTTTTGTTAATTGTGCAATATACCAATCGGTAATATAATAATGTGTATTAACAGCTATTAGACCAGAGGCTCCTTGAAGGTTGAGATTAAAGCTTCCTATCTTCTACATGGCTCAGTGGAGTTCTCTACATCCGCTGGACATGAATAAAAATATTTTGGATAGACTAAGTATGTACAGAAAGCTCTGCAAATGGAAGATGAATGCCCTCATTTATTAATATTAACTGTTATAAAAATGCAGAAAGTATACTCATACAGAATTCTAGTAATGAAATTGCAACTGGGCCAATATTTTAACAAACTAACACATTTTACATATAACTTAGATGCTGACATCTCATGGTGTCCTTGCTTTATCTAGCACTTAATATGTTCCAATCTCCTGTGAATGATACCATTATCACACTTAAATTGTTACCAAGTAAACAGTAAGACAGTAAAAAGGAGTTGTTACAACTTTAAGAGAAACGCAGGAAAAATGTGGCAGAAGCCTATGCTGTACTGATTTTAAGATAGCATTTGAGACAGCATTTGATAACTGATAATCCATAGCCTTCTCCATGTCTTAATATGGATTTCCATCAATTTCCCAAATATGGCAGATTTATGACATATCTTACTTTAAATACTTAAGGTAAGTTTAAATGACTATTTCACAACTAGCACAATCAATTAACTGGTTCAGTCAGCCAGAAAAAGTAATGGAAAACTAAATACCTACAAACTTATGTTGGAAATAACTTTCATATAAAATTTTGACCACAGTGGGGAAGGAAAAAATGGTTAGCACATGACAGTTTTAACTAGTCAGTCTACTTCAATGTAAATTAACATTCAGAAAATAGCAACTTCATAGATAAGTCTTACAATTCTCATATTAGGAATTTTTTCTGCAATCTTAAAATAGCCATAAATAAAAGAATCTGCTTAAGATTACTTTAGCAAGTAAGTCACAATCTAAAAAAAAAATTTCCATGCATATATTTTTCTCTTGTGCTGGCATATGATGATTTACTAACTACAGATTTTCAAGAGCACTACAGATAAAAATATTTCATTTTAAAGAATCTATCACAGACAGTACTAAAAAGTAACATGTCTACAAAAATTTAATCGGTCTAACAATAAAATTTGAGTTAAAATTTACCTAGCACACTTTTTATTGGGGGTGGGCTGGTGCCACTGGAGGGTTTGTGCATAACCCCTTATTCCAATATGAGATATTGAACGGTAATTTCAAGATTTGGAACTAGAATGCAAAATCTTTTCTAACTCTTCACTGGTAATTATTCCTCTTGGATATTTCGTTTACTCAACGCAGAACAGAACTCTGCTTAACAGCTAAGAATTACTGCCACTAACGTCAAGTTTAACTACATATGTTTTAAAGCCGACAAAAAGACTCCTGACTTTATAAGAAATAAGAGATAATGCCGCATTAACTGCTTTTTCTGACCATGTGCCCCAGGAATCCTAAAAGACAGAAAACAAATGAGCTTTTAAGTATCGCACCGCCTTGATTGTTGGCAGCGATGCTGGTGTATACCGCTCTATTACCGCCTTAAGAACAGCATACCTAGCACTAGCAGAGCCGAAAAAGAGGCGGGAGTTGATGGGGTGAGGGGGGGAGGGTCCTCCAATTCTAAAAATCAAGCCCCTAATAATAGACATGCTCACACCCAGACACACATCATTCCTACCCCTTCAGCCTTGCCATGCGAGGGTAGGTGGGATTCTGGTAGGGCCATAAGTGGGACCGTAGTCGTTCTGGGAGGACTGTGAGTAGGCTGTACGAATAATACTGCAGGAAAGGTAGTGTAGGATGCGATCATTGAGTGGCAAGAGCGAGAGGGCGGGAAGCGACAGAGAGGATTATTATGCGTGACTCGGGGCTGGCCAACGGGGAAGACGGTGGTGGCGGCCTGAGAATACGAAGGTTGGGGGTTCCCTCCTCCATCACCCTACGCCGCGAGGGGCCGACCGCAGTGAATGATGAGGGAGCAGCGAAGGCAATGGAATCAGAAGAAATCCCTCCGGGAAAGGAAAAAAGGGCGCCGAAAAGCAGAGGCATTATGGGATGACGAAAAAGGCTCTCCCGAGGGATTATTATGAGCTCTTCCTTACCCGCCAGTTGCTATAGAGCCTTTTCACTCGCCGGTAATAAGCTTCTTTGTCGAGAGTCACCGCCATGGCCCGGGACGCGACTCTTCTTTGGGCTCCGAGAATCACGCGAGGTCCCGGCTCCACCGCCCGCTGTCGGCCCGGAATCCTGCGCTCTCCTACTGACCCGGAAGTAGACTCCGGGAAAAGGGGGGGCTCTTTCCGCTTCCGGGATTCCAGAGAGTTAGTTTTTTTTTTCCCCGGAGGTTGTTGGGGTAGGCGTATGTAGTTTAAAAAAACAAAAACAAAAACAAAAAACTCACGAAATTCACAGAGGACAGATGACCCAGATTTTCGCGGGGTTTTCCAGTCAATTCCTTTGCGGCTACGCGCGAGCACGCATACTCACGTGACTCGAGCGGAGACGCGCCCGCTACATCCACGCTCTTGCACGTGGTCTCCCAGAGCGGGTAGCAGAGGGGGCTGGAACTCAGGAGAGCGGCGAAGCTGCCGGGCCCCGCCCCGCCCCGCACGTGAGGGGCTAGCGCGCGTCCGGCGGTGGCAGCGCGCGGGCCTCAAGAGGCCCCGCCCCTATAGCAAGACTCACGGCAGGAAACTGCGCTGTTGGTCTGAGGGTGTTGGGAGGGCAGGAAATCGCCCTGCTCACTAGGGCTGGGGGGCGAGGGGAGGTCGTGAGATGGTGGACCGTGAGGTGAGGTTGGGCCTCAGATCACTGTTTCCGCCTGTGATGGCTTGAGGGAGCTGAGGTGGGGTCCGACCCCGCCAGTCATCAGCCTCCCCCTCCCCTCACTCCAGGCTTTGACCAGCTCCTCCCCCCAGGCCCTGAGGTGGCCTATGGGCCTATTCCGCCCCGGGCCCAAGGGGAGGAGCACCCGTCTGTTTACACATGCGGGGTTTGATGCAGAACGCCTGGAGCCACGGCAGCCTAGGCCGTGGGGAAGCTGATATTCCTAGATATCAGTCAGATGATGAGACAGTCTTGGCCCTAGTTTCATCCCCTTGGGGCATTGAAATAATAAAATGGGAAGGGAGAATTGTGCCCAAATAGAGCAGGATGAAACCCAGCACATAAAGAGGCCAGCCACATAGTCATTACATCACGTTTCCCACTGCTTTAGACCGCGTCTGAATCACAGGACTCATTAATGATCTTGAAAAGACGCAAGGCTATATATCCGTTTAAATTCCTGTTAGAACCAGAGAGTACAAACAAATACTAGGGCCATAAAAGCATGGAGAAAGTTGTTTTTTTTTTTTTTTGTTGCCCTGACCTGTGGAACAATTTGTAATCTGGACAAACCTCATTATTCACCTGCTATAAGCTTGTTTCATTTCAAAACTGCACATAACAGTCACTGGCTTGGTTAACTAATGGATTTGTTTAAGAAATGGCCAATGCTCGCCCAGAATGAGCACCCTTACATCATTTGAAATAATTAGCATTTTACATTAAATAGGAGCACAAACAGCACTGGGGAAGAGTGGAAAAGGATTAACTTAAATTTATTAATGCCAAGGGGAAGGAAGGTAACAGTTCCTGACCCTCCAGCCTGTATCCACAGTTCCAGCAGGAACAGGCTCTGTCAGAGGCTGGGGCCAGCACTACAGTCTGTTGTTAATGGAGGTGTCCAGGGAAGGGGTAAATGAGCACACCAGCTGCTCCAGTCTCCATTCCTTCCCCAGAAATGAGGAAGTGGTTATGTATTATTTGATGAGTTCCCCTGCCCACCCAATCCTCTCATATTTGGGAGCAATTAGGTACAAGTTTTCTTTTTCTTTTCCACCTCCCCAAGTCCTGGGTTTTCCCATCTCTCTCCTGCCCCTTTCTTTTTTCCAGTCCAAGGGCCAGAGTGAATGAAAAAATTCAACAACCACCAAAGCAGTGGGGACCATGCTGGGACATCAGTCATCAGCATCTTCACTGGAGTCCGAGTTGGCTGGCATCATAGGGTCATCAATGAGTGAGAAGTCCCTTTCTGAGCTATCATAGCCCTGAGATAAGTCATCATCTTCTTCCTCATCATCTTCTTCCTCTTCTTCTTCCTCCTCTTCCTCTTCCTCCTCAGGTTGCAGTGGTGGCAACCTGAGGGCTGTGCCTGCAGAGGTGGTGGTAGCTGGCGTGGAAGGGTAGCTAGAAGCTCTCAGGCCTGGATGGTGATGATGGTGGTGGTGATGGTGGTGGTGATGATGTTGGTGATGAAGCATTGTGCTGGAGTCTACATGAGGGGATGACACTGTACCTCCCATCACAAATGGCACAAAAGGTAAAGATGCAGAGGTGGCACTGCTGTGCCCTAGTGATGACACAGGCTGTAGGCCACTGCTACCATGCTGGAAGTTACTATGCAAAGACAGGGGTCCAGAGCCCCCACCCTGCATCAGGGCCACCATCTTGGATAGGTCTGGCCGTACCCTGCGGGCCCGCTTCTTGCTATTGTCTGGTGCAACTGGGCCTGGTAAGACCCGGTTGAACATAGTGTCGGGGAGATGACCCTGGGAAAAAGGAAGGGAGGAAAAAGGAAGGGAGACAAGTGGGAAAAACAAGTCAAAACAAATTTCTTAGTTTGCAAAAGCTTCCTCACAGCATGACTCACTAGTTCAGTCATTTTTTAGCATATTCCAAATAGTGTGTATGTGTAGGGGGATGTTAGGTTAAGTAAATTAGAGCACAGCATTAATCAGGCCAAGGTCATAAATTTGATAGCTTTGAAGGTCAGCTAGGTTTGCTGTTTCATAAATTCATAGGGCACTTCCATTCCACCCTAGCTACTCAGCTCACAAACCCATATTTTTCGCCCATGTAATCACACAATTATCAAGTTTAGTTACACAGAAAAGAAAAAAATGCATCTCTCTTCCTTTACTGCAGAGGTGGGGGAAGATGGGTGTGGAAAATACATATAAACAAACATATGTATACACATATAAACACACACATACAGAATTAGTTAATGTATTGGTTAGTTTTACTGAACACCAATTTTTTCCCTCTTTTTTATTCTTTATTAAAAGGGATGGCTCTCAAAGGAGGGGAGACAGGAAGGATGTATTTGGATATGAAGGTGATATTTAAACAAAATATATCAACGAAAATTTAAAAATGATAAAAACGAGTGGAAACAAGTCAGAATTTGCCTGGTTTACTATATAAATAAACCTAGATAACAATTAAAAGCACATGCATAATCACGGTGGGTTGTAATGTTATTTTCACATACAAACAGCAACATTATTCAGATTTGACCATATTACCCATTAGTGCACCAAGGGTAGGTAAATTCAGACTATTGGTAACCATTTCTGAAGCACTGGATATGGAGTCAGAAGACCTGGGTTCAAATTCCAAATCTGACACTATTTGTACAACTGAGAGCAGATTAACTAGGTGTTTAATGTCTCTTGCCTTCCATTTTCTCCTCTCTAAAATGAAGGCATTGGACTAGTTGATTTCTAAGTTCACTTACATGCTCTAGGATTCTATTTGTAATCTATTCATACCCTTCCCTGCCTTGTAAAATAGAATACCTTAATGCTCTCACTTATAGGGTGGAGGTCTGACTATTCTACAATATCCAGTTACAATGCAGTTTTACAATAAAAATCCAATTCCTTAATTTTATTTGATAATTGTGCCAGAGACTGTAAATCACCACTTATAATACCTCTTAGAACTGGCACTCTGCCAATTACACAGTAATATATTTAAATATGTGTGCCTTTCCCCACAAAAGTGTTTCTCTGATGGCTATGCTGAGAGAATGTAAGCTCTGGCCAATCATATATCAAGCTAAGAAAGCTTCCAGTAGAGGTCAAGGAGCTGGCTGACTATTTTCTAAGACCTAGGCAAATTCTGACAGTAGGTAAATTAGAAGAGATTAATAACTAGGATGGCCAGAGGGTGATTAATTTTTTTTGGCCATAGCAACTCTTTAAAAACCATCTACTAAGCTCTAGAAGTTATGATCTGCATAGGTACAATAAGTACCCACATTAGCAAAATCACAATCCTAAAAGCACTGACATAAATATATATAGGGTGTACCAAAAGTCTTAGTGCAATTTTAATCTATTAAAGCTTAAGCTTGGGCACCCCATATATAGATGTGTGAACTTACACACACACACACACACTCTTTTCTCTTTGTCTCTCTGGAACACGTTGATACCATCAGTGTGAGGCTCTTTTGGTACTGATATTTGAGAAATACTCAAATGACTCTTATTTATTCCTTCTCATGAATAAATATGACTATTATAAGAAAGATATTGTGCTGGGTGGTTTTTTTTTTTTTGGTGAGGCAATAGGGGTTAAGTGACTTGCCCAGAGTCACGCAGCTAGTGAGTGTTATGTGTCTGGGGCCAGATTTGAACTCAGGTCCTCCTGACTCCAGGGCCAGTGCCCTATCCACTGTGCCACCCAGCTGCCCCTGTGTGCTGGGTGTTTTTAAGAAAACAAAACAAAACAAAACAATTTCTTCATCTCTGGGCTTAAGTTCTTTCATCTTTAAAATGAAAGGATCAGACTAGCTACTCTCTAAGGTCCTTCACAACTTAAATTTTAGATTCTATGACACAGTTCTTGTTTATTTGGTGACCTTATGGGTGTTTACAACTTAACCCTCTCCCCCCTCAAAAACTCCACCCTACATGTATATTCAGATTGGTAAAACAAGAATGATTATTCACTTTATGAAAAGAGTCCATCATAGAATTCCTTTCCATATTAAACTCTTCTGAGCTATTAAGAATGATGTGATTCACACAAATTTCAGGGACAAATTCATTATATAAACTAAAGTAAATCTGTATAAATAAGGTGGAGACAAATATAGCAACAACTCCAGGTTGCAATCACGTGTTTAAAGCACCAAAAATGGGGCAAAACTAGAGGTTTATTAAGCTGCTGGTCACACCCCCTCCCCCCAACCATGACAATGGAACATCTACCTGGAAAGGCAGCAAAGAAACCCAATGACTCATGGTCCCTGGCCCAGTCAAGATCTGAAAAATTGCTAGTTAATCCCAATTTGGAATTAACCATTACCTTAAAACCTTCTAAAATGTCTAGTATATTTTTATATTCTTAGTCAAGATGAATTTAAATTAACTTTGTTTTGAGATTTTGGGGATTAGTTTTAAGATAGAACACTATAGTACCATAAAACATCACTGGGAACTACTGCTCTTATACCTTTTTTTACTCATATATAAAATGGAGATGAGAGGCAAGTAGTGGATAGAAAGCTTCTGGGCTCAAGACCCACCTCTGACTTTTACTGGTTGGGTTACCCTGGGTAACTCATTTCGAAAGATCCATTATTTCAATCTGATTATTCAACTGAAACTCCTCTCTCCAGATTTACCAATGATCTCTTAAAATTGTGGCCT